TCTTATATATGTTCGAGGTCATTGTGCCCTTCGTCTTCTGGAGAATCAGAATCACATGATTGGACGTATGTCTCACGTTGGTTACAAAGTTGTTTTTAAATAGTAAGTCTGGCGGTTTTGGTCAATGGCATATTTGCCTTAAAAGTTTCTTTATGCTTTTTCGGTCTATGATTTATATGCTTGCGGTTAATGGCGGTGGCCTATTATTCACGGTCAATGGCTTACATGCTTGGTTGCGGATTTGTTCATATCTTTGTTCTTGTGAATATTTTTATATCGTATTTGGTGACAAGAACACTGACAAATTATTTTTTCCCTTCCTTCTTCACCACTCTTTTGGTACGCTGGTAGGCGGGTCGGAGAGGGCGTGTTCGTTGTTATGTCAAGTAATTTTATTCCCTGGGCTTAGGCCTTGGGCTTTGCACCAAATACTGTCCTTTGGTATTTGATACCAAACTAGTAGTGAGTTTTTAACAATCCCATTTCTCGCTGTTGGTAACTTGTTATTAACCTAGTGGAATGGGATAGTTGGTAACATTACATTACATGTTGTTTAATTAAGCTGACGGGTCGGGTTCTTGATCTTATCTTTTGACTACAGGTATGACATCATGCCTGTTCACCACCCTCTTTACCAACTCCCCATCGCATTCACTTTTGTCAAAGTCTCTAGTCTTCGTATTGGAGTTCATCATTAAGATTGTTAAAAACTCTTTTTGTTATTAGCTCAGAAATTTTTTCAACCCTCCCTTCCCATCCCTCAAGTAAAGTTTGTCTGTTTCTTTTTTAGTTGTTAAGGTATTCTTTGTTTTGTTCCTTTTAGGCTTGTATAAGTTTGGTTATTTATCTTAGGTTTCAGTTTTTGGTTTGGTTATGTTTTAATTTTGTCTTATGTGTGTTGAGTTATTTATCTCAGGCGCTTCAGTATGTTATTACGGTTATGTTTCAATTTTACCTAGTGTTGTGTTCAGTTTTTTATATTTAGTGTTTCAGTTGTTGGTTATATTTTTCTTTAGCCGCTAGCCACCCCGTAGGGCGTGTTCTTTGTTATGTCAAGTAATTTTATTCCCTGGGCTTAGGCCTTGGGCTTCGCACCAAATACTGTCCTTTGGTATTTGATACCAAACTAGTAGTGAGTTTTTAACAATCCCATTTCCCATTGTGCTGGTTTCTTTGAAGAGGGAAGTCTTAGACAATTTCTGCTAGTCATACATTGGTAGATTATCCATTCTTAGGTGTTGTAAAGCTCTTGTTGAGCTTTGAATACTACAAAAGTTCTTCTTCTTATCATTTTTATTATATATATAGATTTGTAATGGTTCTTTTATATTTTTGAGTCACATAGGCTGTCATTGTCTTACATGCTTGCTCAGGTGACAAACTTGGGCATGAACAATCACACAATGTTCCAAGAAATTCATAACCGGCTGCAGTCCCATTAAGACTTGCCAACTCTGAAGTCAATTCACCATACAAAAGTGACCTCTCCACCTTGCCCTCCTAAAATGCTTCAGTTGCCAAAATTTTTGGGTGAGTTACACAGTTGACCAATCCAATTTCCAAGTTGACCAGCAACTACACCTGTGATCTGAAAACAATGCACCTCTTTGTGTGCCACAAGCTTGGGCTTGCCGCATCAGGAAGCAATTTACCAGCAAATTCAGCAAGCACAAAGGAGGAAGTGCTTGGTTGGTTCCCTGCTGTGGAAATTATGCCAGTCATTGAAGGGGCAGTAATTGAGTATGAAGGTGTTGTTAATAAGCTAGATGAAAATGAAGACAAATCCAAACACCTTACTGATGAGCTTCCTGAGGAAACTCCTCATAGCAGCTCAGAAGAGACATCCAATCATGATGGCAAAGTTGAATAGACACACTGCCTTTGGAAATCACTCAAACTAATTCTGAGACTCCAGCTTCCACAAAGAACACAATGGCTATACTCTACAAGGATTTAAGTAGTCCCATCTCTGTATCTACATTTGAAACATCTCTTTGTACTGACATTATCTTGTTTCATGCAACACTTTTTCAAGTGTCTTACTGTTTGCCGCTGGATGACTTGAAGCACAGCTTAGAGACAGATATTTACATGAAGGTCAAAGGCTTATCTGTGCGCCCATTGGTTGCCGGATATGGCATAAGATGGAATGACAACTATGATTGACAAACACGAGGTGAGTTGTCCAGTCTTCTTATAATTAATAAAAAGTTGTGCTCATCTCTTGATTCTGTATTTAGGTTATTGATCAGATTCTCAGAAAGGATTTAGCATAATACCACACTGCAAACAGGAAGCAAGCTACTGACCTGAAAAAAGTGGTTTGTTCCCTTGGTATAACTTTTGATGGTGGTGACTGGCAGGGCACCAATAGGGCGGTTCAAGTAGCCCTTTTACAGCCCTTTTTTAAGTTTTACATTTAGTTCGGGGGCTTTAAATTTTAAGTAAAATTTAAAGTTGGTGAACCACCTTTAGAGGTGGTTCACCATTTTGTGATCTGCTTAGTTGTCTTAAAATTTATAATTCTCTGCCGTGGCATCGTAAAAAAATCCGGTGCGAAGGACCAAAAAAAACCTTTTTTTTCTTTGGTTTTTTTTTTGGTGTTCCACTCGTGGTGCGTCAAACGCGTATTTTCATTAAAACAAATTGATGAAAAAAAAAAAATTCCTGACAAAAACAAGAGACAATTAAAAAAGCAAGGAAAAAAAGGCGCATTCGCAGACGGTGTACCTGAAAAGGTAAAGCCATAAAACCTAATTATAAGTGCGTTCGCAGAGTCGCGATCAGGAATTTTAAGGATCGGACAACCCTAAAAAGACTGATCGCGACTCTGCAAACAGGTGGATCGCAACTATTGACTTGAACCGCCCTAATGTGCTCAATCAAGAGCACCTTGTAAGAATTTCAAAATATATAACTTATAAAATTTAAAGAACTAACAATTGTTTTTTATTTGAATCCATTTCTTCTTCTGACCAAAATACTAGAGGGGGACAGTCCAAACAGCTCCATTTTTCTCCCTAAGTACTCTGTTTCTTGGATTCTCTCAAAAAACAAGCATTATCTCTAGATGAAGAAGACCCCCTATACCCCATGATTGCATAAATGGTGGTTTGGTTGGATAAATATTGGAACCAGGCACTCAAATATGATGCTCTTCTCTTTGCAACCATTACAAACAACACCAATTGTTTGAAAGAACCTTTGGACCTCAAGCTCTCTCTTCTGTTGAGACACTGGAAAGATATGTTCTCAAGCAGCAAGGCGTCCTCTTTATACAAACTCTTCACCAACAATCTTCAGACCGGGCAAGTAGATGAGTTGTCAAGATATTTGGGAGTTGAACACCCCTTGGTACCAATTCTCAAAGAAGGAGACAACAATGACACAATTGATCCCACATATATATCACAATGGTGGAGAGTAAGTACTTGTTTTTAATTATCTCTTGACCACATGCTAATCATTTGCATCATGCTTCATAAGAGCACAAACGACATTATCTGGTCCTTGCCTCAATGGTGCATGTCTATCTTGCAATTCCAGCTTCATCAGCTGCTGTGAAAAGGTCTTGTTGGCCTGCTGCTGATGTTTGCTTAGAATATTGAGGCCAATTAGCTCCTCAAACAATGGAGAGAAACATTGGAAGCCTCTTGTGGCTTTGTGAAAAGTTGGAGCTGGTGGTGGATGGACAATTGTGGCAAGTGTGCTAGTAAAGAATTCTGCAAAGGCCATCATTGAGTAATCTTATTATCTCATTGTTTTGTTTTTCTACTTCAATGAAAAATTCTTTTTAAGTGTGAAGAAGTGCTGCTAGACCGCTATTAGCAGTTTAGCGTCAGAAAACAGCTGTGTTCAAATCTTACCCGGTTGCACCCAAAATAGGTACACCCGGTTGAGTTTTTGGCTGGAAGTTGTCAAGAGCTGTCAATAGATACACAAAGTTACCACCAAAAACACAACTGGGTGTACCAGTTTTTTGTGTCAAGCGGATTAGGTTTGAACTTGGCTATTTCAGGCCGCTAAGCTAAAGTCTCAGTGTTAGCTGAAATTTGCCAAGTTTAGCATTAGCAAAATTTGCCTTAGCTAATTTAAGCCAAGGTGACAAAAACCCTTGAAGATTTTGGGTCAAAAATCTAACTGAAGAGTTCTTGAAGTTTCACTATTAAACTATTGAAATCTTTAGGTTAAATACTTAGATATTCCCACGGTTTAACCCAACAATTGTGGATGATCTTTGCTTAGCTTAGGGAGCCATTGTTGCTAGTACTATGCAATAAACCATGGTTTCAGGCCAGTTCTCAAGCTACCAAACACATTTTTAAAGCATGTTTTTTACGCATTGTGACCACAGTCAGTAAATGAACAGTCTTGTTTTGTGCTTACTTCCTTCTTCAACTTGAGAACCATTTGATTTGATCTTCTCAGGTTTCCATACTTTTTGGCTACATTGTAAGCAATTCCCACTTCATGAGGGCTGATTGAACATGATTGTCAGGAGGTGTTTCAATTGGGTTCAAGTCATCTGGGAAGCTCAAGGTTAATGTCCAAGTCATGGGTTTCCAATCAAGACTTTTTGAGCAATGATGGCTAGTCTGAGCTGGTGATCACTCAATGGGTAGTGAAACAAGCAAATTCCACCTCAAAGGTAATCCTAACTATGTATTTATTTCACAAACTATTGTTATAGGAATAAAAGACAAGTTGAAGGATAATTTGCCCAAAGAAGTCGTATCAGTTGCGTGGGTATCAGTCTCAAAGTATCGAATTAAGCCGATAATCCCAACAATTGAGTGCATTTCTTTTTGTTACATTACGATATGTCTACCAAGGGAGTATGATGTACATACTTGACGCCGCATCGCACCGATGTATGCATGTAGTGTCATTCTCTAGACAAGCATCGATTCCTTCTGATGGGTAATATCAAGGCTATTAACACCGATCATTCATGTGCAAGCAATCCAGAGCAAGCAGAGGGAAATATATGACCTACAGAATCAGAATAAGACTAATTTTGTTTTCCCAGCTTTGAGCATGGTTAGGATTTCAGGATTTCCAAGGATACCCTGCCAAACTGCCTCCCTGACAGCCTTTTCAGGTAAATCAGCCAAAGAATAAGATTTGGTATCCAGCCAAGTTGTATCCAACATGATCCAACGTAAGCGCTCAAGTTTCAAAGCCTTGGCTTCAATAAGCTTAGATATGCGATCGGGTGTTCCTGCGCCAATCACCACAGGTGTTGTGTTCAGATAAGTGATATGTTCAGAAAGTTTGAAATGACGAGCAAAAAGCTTGGCGACACCTCCGGTTGTTTTGGGTGAAGGTAGGAGTGGCTTAACCTGTCTATTCAAAAAAGTCAGTAATGTACAGTGTTTTATGAAGAGCTGTTATATTTACTTGCACAGATCGACCACTCTCAAAGCAGCGCTTGCGATCACCAAAAGGATTGGGGACCCAGGTACCGTTGTCTCAATCTTGGCAGTCTCTAAAAAATCGGGAATGGCTGATTACAGCATGTGTCAGTCATAAACCAACTCGATTGAATTACAAGTTTTCCTTACATCCGGTATTTAGCCATGATCCAAGTTGACCTCTATGAGGCTTGTCCGAAACATTCAATAGCCATGATTCACGGAATGCGAGCGTTTGAAGTTCCAAATCAGATAACTTCGGCAGAGCTCTTTTCTGACGATCTGTCAGATAGCTTAGTTGAAGGTCTGGTGGTTGAAGTCCAATGGAGGTTTCTTCTCCGGGAGCAGGTGTCAGAGGTCCAAGCTGTTGATGTGAATTCGAGGATTGTTCAGCCTTGGACGATGAGCTGATGAGTAATATGAAGTGTGCAAACCTCTAACGGAACGAAAGGTTTAGGCTCTGCTTTTGATTTTTGTTTTGTGGGTTTTGAGCGATTGGTTTCATCAGATGGTCGTACAGAAGTTCGGTTCTTTTTGTTATTGAAAGTTGAGGTCTGCTTCTTCTGAGATACATTGTTTATGGCTCCCACGACATCGCTTGTTGGAATTTCAATTGGGATCTCATCCTCGACTATTTTATTCGTTTCCTTAGGTCGCTGTTTTTGTTTCTTCTTCCTTCGCGATTTAGTAATAGGTTGTCCTTCATGTTCACTATTGTCTGATTCACTCAGGAGAGAGCGCTTCGTGCTGTCATTCAGCAGAAATTGATCCTGATCGTCGAGAGCGTCTGCATTGATAAATTGATTGGTCATTATTGGTTTTGCGAAGGAATGTGCTTTCAAAGAGTTAAACAGAAAGAAGGAAAGGTCAAATTTACCAGCTGAAGTAACCCAAAAAAATTACAATGTGTGAATTTTAAGCCGTAGCCTGTCACAAGCTGCGACTCACGTGACACACGCTTGAGAGCTTATGTCACAAGTGTGACTCACCGTGAGTGACATCAATGATCACTCACCCTCCCCAAACCGATTTCTTTATTTACCATCATTTTGTTCTTGTCTAACATTTCCATAAACTGAAGCTAGACAACCTACAACAGGAGTACACGGATAAAAATAAGAAGGTCATACAATCGCGAGATTTGGAAAATGCTCAATTGGGGTTTGTAATTATGATGGTCTATGTTTCATCACAAGCTGAATAAAACAATCATCTTGAGCCTTTGGAACGCTATAGATTGATATCAGCTGCTTGCCTTACCTGGTAGATTAAGACTTTTCATTCTTTTAAAGCTATTGCAAGTCTATAAAATCCATCAAAGCTCAAAGATAAAACTCTCTGAACAATCTCACACACGTACTTGATTTTTGTCGATACTTTCAATTATAACACCATCTCTTGCAAAGCCTGTCAGGACAAAAACAACGATGTTGCTTCCTAGTCATTTTTGGTAGGTTAAAGTTTCATATGCCTTACCGACCTGAGACACATATGGTACTTTCTTAGTTTCAAAGTGTTATGAATGGAACCCTCCAGCTGTTAGGTAAAAAGATTTGAATTATCTCATCATCAATCTGACTGTTTAAAACTCCTTCATCCCATTGCAACTGGGGAGAAACATCGCGATGAAAACCTACAAAACGTAATCAACCAAATTAGACGAAGTGACACAGACGCTTGAAGAAGCAAGAATTCAAAAACATTCACTGACGATTATCAGCAGACCATGTCAATTTACTAGTCGGGGTGTACCTTCACTCCGATTTTTTACAGGGTGATACGGCTTCACATACACGCGGGTGGCACTATGCAGTGCCTCAAATCGAACCTTGGTTCCCCCGCCTCATGATGGTCCCGAAAGCCGTCAATTCTATTTGAACCAAGACATGTAGAAAAGCCCAAGATTGCACGCGGACGGCGCTACTTTGCCGTCCGCCGGACCACATGGCCTAAGAATCACCCTCAAGCCGGCTCAAGCCCATCGGTGCTCAAGCCGAGTTCTGAAGCAGCGTCTAGTAAGTAGGAGAAAGCATCATATAAATAGATTCAAATGTCATTTCATGTGGTACGGTTACCTCTCAAACTCTCACTGCCAGATCGTCTTGCCTTGATCAAATCTCACTCGCTTTAAACTTTTACAGGTTGACATTCCTCAATTCAACTTCGACTTTCTTTCTTGCTTAGATAAAATGCTTAACTTTTTCCCGAAAATCGCTATCCTACTTCTTTCCCTGTGGATTCATGACCTTGCGGCGCTTCAAGGAAGTTTTGGGTGTGACAAAGGGTTCAAACGCAACACAGATCTTAAAAGCGCGGGTACGTGTGTGATTTTATTCAAATTATTATTGTTTTGTAACTTCAGTATGATCTACACCCATGGCTAACAAGGACCTACTCTTTGATTGCTCACAATGAAAGTTTGCACAATGCAATCCTCCATGTCACCGTTCTACAAAGACTTTCAGTGTACATATTCCAGCTGCTGGTTAAAGGGTAAGTATTTCAGAATACAAACTTCATTTTCATTGCTGTAAAATACCCTGTATATCTAATCAGCGGAGAGATTTAATGTCTATTTTGATGTTAGGTAATAAATGGATTCCAATGGGAGGATGCCAGCTCCCTGGATTCGGAGCCAGTGATCAAAAATGTATCACGTATAAGTACGACGAGAAAGCAAAGGTTTTTTGTCAGTCTCCCGAGTCTTCCATCATTGTTTCCTGATGTAGTATCTCATTAAAGGTCCATTTTTTTTGTTTGGTTGGTGAATCTATAGCTTGTACCAACGCCGGGGGGGTAACTTATATATGCCCTAATTATACACCCAATGATGTGCCTTCCATGGGTGAGTTATATCATATTATCTGTCGATCTCCGATCAAAACCTCACTTAACTGAAAACAAATCTTTTTCTTTTAGTATGCACCGAGTGTCAATTTCCATAAATCTCACACAAACGAAAGGATGATCTTCTTTTGACCCAGAGATCGTGTCAAAGAGCACCATGTGATCTCTGTGATTGATTTTGTGAAGTCTTCCTTGGCTCATACATCTTGTTAAACTCATCAAAGCTTGGGCATGCACTGCAACATGCATTCATGGACATTGTGATTGTTTTTGCTGCTCAAAAGTCTGAAATAATGTTATTCATGTCTCAGATCTTCATATCTCGCAACCATTCTGCGGCTGCCAAGAACAATGAGGCACCAAGATCAAAAAGTGCTCTGACTATTGAGGTGCAGGGGACCCTTTGTGGCAGTGAAGTGGAACAGACCACTTGATGAGGTAGTCGCTATATTGAATCAGAGTTATCCAAATAACATATTCTTTCATTTTCCTTGAAAGAACAGTAAATTGAGTATGGCACCGATAATCGTTACAATTTTCTTAAGCACCAATCAATAAATCACGTAAACAAGAGCTCGCTCTGAGTCTTACTAGGTGACCAAACCTCAAAATGATTTTCTATTTTATGCACTTATCTTTCTAATTGTGTTCTGGGAATTGTTACAATTTGGTGAAAATCTATCAAGCTCTGATCATTGACCTGCGCCTGCTATAGCTCCCAATGAAGACACCCAGAAGGACAGTTTCCCATTCCTATGTGCTGTCACCCAGAGAGTACCCTCTTCAAGACTTGGAATCCAGTCTACCCTCACACACCATGTAGTCATCACAGTTGGTATAGTAAAGATATACTTACATGTGTAACAGATTGGATACCCAACGTAAAATGACTATCAATAAGATAGATGACAATGGATGAATTGTGGAAGGATTTAAACAGATTGATCACGAAAATCACATGATCTTCTTTGGCTCAGTTTCTTTGATACGATACGCTTTCCAAGCAGGTTTTGGACTGAAATCTATTGAACAGTCAATTTTCCAATTCTTGACCCAATTTGCCCATAAAACTCCATCGGTGTGGAGTCGTGGTGAAGTTTTATGGATCTCTTGACCTTACATAAGCGCAGTCGGTGCACACTAAAAAGAAAGAAAGTCTTTTCAGTTAAGCAAGTGTTTGATCTATAACAAAGGTAACTGACAGATGGCGGGCACAGTAGAGGCCGTATAAGGGCATGTATAAGATGTCCCTCCAGCGTTGGTACAAGCTGAATATTCCCCATCCACGCGTAAAAATAAAGTTTGAATAAGACACTTGATGAAAACGGATAGTTGAAGACTTAGTTTACTGACCAATATTGTATTTTTTTTCGTTGTACTCATATATGGTACATTTTTGATTACTGATGCCTTTGTCCAGCGAACCAATGAGTTGGCAACCCGACATCGGAGACCATTTACTACCTAACATGAGAATGGATATAAGATGTCTCTGACAATCAGGTTTACAGGTTCAGGGTGTAAGAAGGGGAATGAAGAATCTCTTGAACAGTCACCGTTATACCAGCAGCTTGAGTATGCGCAGTTATACATTGCCGAGCCAGGCAACACTGAGTGTTTTAACAAGCACACTTTCAGTGTGAGCAATCACAGAGGAGGACTGTGTCAGTCATGGTTGTAGATGAGACTAGAGTTACAAGACAATGGGGATTCAGATGAAATCACTCACCTGCATTAGTGTCTGTGTCACGTTTGAACCCCGAGTTACAGTAAAATTTGTTATCGAGAGCCTTCAGGCAATGAAGCCACAGGAAAATCAATAGAAGGGAGGTCTTTGGGAAAACGTGAAGCATTTCTGTAATAGCCAGGACAGAAGACAAACTTCAATTGAGGTATGTGAACCTGCGGACGTTTAAAGCGAGTGAGATGGAAGATGATCAATGATTAATGATCAGGGAGTCAGCACCTGAAAGTGAGAGATACATGAGCTCGGATTTCAATCTATTCTGAAGTTGGACTCTGCTTCAGGACCCGGCTTGAGCACCAATGGGCTTGAGGTGGATTCGTCCGGCATGTGCTGAAGCGGACGGCAAAGTAGCGCCACCCGTGTGCGATCCTGTGCGTTTTGGTGTACGTCTTGGTTCAAATACGTCACAGTACCACCCGGGTTAAACTTATCAAGGCCCCAGATCACATAATCAGTCCCGTTTCTCATCAATCTATTCAGACAATGGAGTGATGTCAAAGGGATTTTGATGACCTCTTGTAATATATATGAGTATCTTCCCATTTTAGCGGACCTGAAGAACCTTTTACATCTACAAACTTCAACTTTCATCTCTGCAATAGCGTGCAATTGTAATCTTGAATTGGTTTTGGTTTTGCAAGTTTTTGATTATCCACTTGATATTGTTCAGAAATGGTCTTTTACTTGTTTCAGAATGATCATTCAATGCAGTATCTTCTGCTTCTGAGAAATTTAATTTGATCAGAAACTGATGGGGTGTTTTTTCTTTTCATATATGTGCATCAACAGTGATGGCTATGCATATGTTTCAAACACATCAAATTCCAATCTCCAGTTGAATTTTTGTCAACCCTTGGCAGAGGTTTGGTATCCGGTTTGATTGGAAGTACCATGATCTATCTCAATGACCAATAAACCAATCTCGAACAGAAAATGGAGAATAGTTGACAGAGTCAACCCTCAATCAAAGATTGGGGGCTGATTCAAAGGAACCACAAGAATGTTCTTTATTGTGACGTGATTGATGAGGATAGTTTGAAAACTATTGCGCAAACCATTAACAATACTCTACACCATAAAATTTGTAAACTTTTATAATCATATTTTCAAACCGAGAATGAAAATTCAAGACTTCATAAAAAATCACATATCTGGGGAATTGTATAGTGTACATAACAACCCAAAATTTGAAATGCAACTCCAATCCACTCTTTACTCACTGTGTCTCATGGGTGAAGACGCGCAATTGTTTCTTTTATTTCTTATTATCTTATTGTATTTAGTGATATGTACTGCTCATTAGTGTGAGGTAATGGACAGCACCGGTTGTCCCATTCAAACCTAAAGAGTTCGCCTGGAAAACCTTTGGTTTCTTGGGGGGGGCCCTCTGCCTAGAAGAGGCCGAGGGAGGTAGGACACCGGTGACAGACGATGGGAGATCGCTGAACGGTGGGCTAGGCAACCTCCCAACACCTCACAGAAATACAGACACATCACACACACAAGTTAAACCCTAGGTACCCATTACGACTTACTTCCTTAGTCCTTACCCTCATACACGAGCTTCCAACCGCATGGCGTTTAGGACCAAGAAATTGGGAGCTCCTAACAACTCTTAACCTTATCGAAATCTAGGTAAATGTGCTACCAAAGAAAAAAAAAAAGGGTGGCGGGTGGGTTCGAAAAAGAGAAGATAGTAGAGCTTTCGATCTATACTATGAATGAGAGAAATTGCGACAGTGAGATATTTCCAGAAGGTACGAGCGTGGGAATTGTGGGAATGGGAGTTGACGCGTGAGAATATTTTCAAGGAGAAAAGGATAATTTTCAACTTTGTAAATTTCCCCGTGCGTCAAGGAAAGTATCCTCACTACCAGGATCTTTCCTAAACCTACCCATTACCCGACCACAGCCCGTGTCGTGGAAATCAACGGTACCGTCGTCCCTTTGGGCACCGTTAGCCATTCATCTTGCCAAGATCAAGAAGATAAGAAACAAGATAAGGAGCATATCAATTTACGTACACCAAACACTTTTCAATTTTTCGGTTTGATTGTTGTGATTTTTCTATTTGAAAACTCTTTTCGGATTCAGTTTTAGGTCACTGGCTACTAATGAACAGGTAAGGTTTCTGGTTTGTTTATCTACAACCTTAGTGGTAAAATGACATCGTTTCTAGTTTACCATTTTCCTTTCATTCATCAAATTTCCTCTTTACCTTTTACATAGCATTTTTGATATTTCCAATTTGGTTCATCAAGAGTTCTATGTAGGTATCAAAGAGTACATAACCCACTCTCAAAGCCCTCCCTTCCCACCCTAGTTTAGCAGTTACACGTATCCTTTTATTGAAGTTGTCAAAGTGCTAAGAGCATCCGCACTCGTGCGGCAAATCGAGTGCGGTAAGTGTAAATTTACTGCAACGGCGGGGCTTATTCCACACCGGGAGCAAAGTAGACCCGCGGTACATAATTTTAAGGTTGATTTGAAGTAAGACAGAAGTAAATATAATCATAGCCTACCTCGTACTTTATCTCAAGTAACTACTCGGGTCCGGTAGCTTTCCGACTCGAATCAACCTCCATCTCACTCAACAATATTCATACACACCACAATCTGACCGATGGAACCCAAAGAATCGAAATCTTGCAAGCCACGCGCTCCGAACTGGACACCAAAAGAAGAGCAGCAATTGGCCATGTCTTGGATACATGTCTCTTCCGAACCGGAGATAGGAACTAATCAATCCTCCGAGATGCTCTTCAAGAAGGTTGCCGATCACTTCAACTCAAAGATTGACCTCCATCAACGTGATTGGGAGCAAGTCCAAACCTGGTGAGTTGAGTATGTTGTCTACTGAGTCATATACAATGGCTCATTGTTGTTTCTTGAAGCTGGAACTCTCTCCGAACCTCCACACTTAAGTTTTCTAGTTGCTACGCTAAGATCGAACGAGCTCCCCGAAGCGGTAGAAAGTCTCTTCGTCATATGCTGGGTTTGGGGAGAGGTAGTCGGCAAAAAGTTGGGCATTTGCTGCTTCTCTATCCCTATGTACCATTTTTTTCTTTGGTCGTTCATTTTCATTGTCTTGATCTGAATTATCATCTGAACTTGAATCTTGACTCCACTATGCGAGCTCCTCCCTGAAAAATTCTCTTGTTCTTTTGAGGTGTCTTGAGAAAAATGTGCTTTCTGGCATTCTGGATCGCAAAATTTACTAGTCTTACTTCTGTGTTTTACAAATTTACAAACTTTTCACCGCTGTGGGTTTTGTACAGTATAGGTGAAGTAACTAATGATACATGGCAGATACTGGACACGAGTGTGATAATTGTACATAATTAGTAAATTTTAACTTACCGTACAGGTCGGTACCACAAAAGTTACCGAAACGTACCACAAACGAGTGCGGGTGCTCTAAGTAAAACAAAAGTGTCTATGTATCCACGTAAAAAAATGTTGTATTTCAGCTGCAGAGAAAATCAAAAATATTCATTTGAAAAAGTCTACGTTGTTTTATTTTTATATATATTACATGATTATTGTTTGGGTCTTTGCTAGTCACCTGGGAGGTGATGTTTGTTGGAGGCATGTTTGTTCATTGCAAACTTTTAGCCCAGCCACACTTGCAGGTCTTAATTTGTATCTTCGTGAGTAACATGGTGATGTCTCGCACCAATTTTACATACCAACTTATGTATTATTATTCTTTGTTACCTTTCACTTTGTTTTGACATTCACTTCCATTGACTTTGTTTTTGAGGGGTAAGAGATCCAAGGACCAAGGCTCAAGCATTCATAAAGCCGAATGGCAGAGATGAATTTAATTCCAGGTGTTCGAGATGTAAAAGCCTGTTTACCATTGTCATAGTTCTCCGGGATCCGAGCTTTCGTGATCTGGAAGATTTCCAGGGTCCTCATTGTTTGGAATCGCTTTGAGAATTATCAAACCCCGGCCGATCTTAGTGCATATTGTGATCATCATTAGCCATCATGCGTGGCGACCGGGTAGAAAAGACACATCAAGTTTCATATCCACGTGGGATTTGATGTATGTGTGGGAGTGGGCTCTTCACGTGGAGGGGGGGTATACCAAGAAGAGGAGAGAAACTGTTCATTAAGGACCAGGCGCAGGTTTTGCGCTTCGTTACTATCCAGAGTGGATTTTGACTTTGTGATCAACAGGAAAGGTAAACTATCCTTGTGGATGTCACTCCCTTACCTATCTAATGCCATGCCCGATTATTGAGATGTCTCGCCCTTGGACATCTCGGCCTGGGACTGGTCATACCAAACCCGATTGCTACGACTCTCCCCTCTACCTCTCCTCATCAACACAAACTTGACTACATGCAAGCCAACCCTATACTGTTTCTAGGTAAAGATATTTATAATTTTGGCCGAATGAAAAAATCCTGGATTAGCCACGCCTATCGCATCGAATAATGGGAGTTGTAACTGACTATAGGTCCTACTTGCAAAGAAATTGTTCACTAGCTACTACATATATACATACAATGTGATTGAGTGGCCGCCTTTGCAATGAATTGACATACAGACCCAAAAACAAGTAAATCACTCACCACTAAAAGCTCAATAGTGATAAAATATGGATGTGGGGTAATTGCAGGAAAGATAAATGGCCCAAGAGATCACGCATATAACCCTTGCCGTTTATTCGTATACCACATCTTTCACAGATATCTGCTTTAATGGAATTCTGCTTTCACAGATCTCTATAGTCCAATCCCATATCTATCATCTGTGTAATCTGGTCCAAATCTCATCTTAGCACGGAAGATGGGCACTTTGGAACAGTCCAAAACGTCGAATAGACTGATTTTCTCACAGCGGAACGGCAGGATGCTTGCAAAACATCAGAAATAGTGATTGCAAAAAACGAATAGAAATGGCACTTCTTATTCCATCACTAATAAAAGATCAGGCTCGGTGCGAAAGCCAAGAGCTGCGTAGACCCGCATCATCGGCTGCGTAGATGACGTCGAGCCTCACTGAAACTATGTGAGGCTCGACGATGTTTGTTCAATCGGGCTGTGCACGACGTATGAAAGCGATCAAGTGACCACTTCCAGAAGTGAAACCGTGAAAAATCCTGTAAAACGAGTACCATAACGACTTTTTAGTAGTAACATGAGCCACAAATCTGCGCCTGGTCTCTATTAGATTGATGAAGTCATTAGATTGATGAAGTGGAAAGGGTCTGATAATTCTTCACTTTCTTTAGACTCTCTTTAGCTCTCTTTACCAAATCTGATAGCTCTCATAAATTGATTAGGCAAAATGAAGAGCCTAAAAGATGAGGAAAATTGATTTAAAGTTTTTTGAAAAGGGGTATGAAAGTAAACCTATCGTGCTACCACCATATGTAGTTTTGACTTTTAAGACTAGCTTATGTGATGTCTACTACTTAAATATTGACCCCTAAACCGTGCCAAGAAACAAGTTCAACATCAAATATGTGAGATCCTACAGCCCTTTGCATAATTGATGACTTTGAAGGGAAAAAAACCTCGAGTTTTTTCGAAAAGTGGCCGAGTATTGTCAAAAAACTGCTGAGTTTTTCAAAAAGTCAGTGAGTTTTTTTGGAAACCTGGCTCAGTAATTCTACAAGAGAAAGAGCTCGCTCAGTTTTTGAAAAACTCGCTCAGTTTTTGAAAAAAACTCGCAGGTTTTTTTTGAAAACTCAAGCGTTTTCTCTTTTTCCAAAGTCATCAATTCTGCAAAGGGCTGTATAAGATCATCAATTCATTCGAACTATTCGAACCTTTTGTCCAGTTTGTCTAGTTTTGTTCATACATAGTCTACCTATGTAATCATTCATAATAAACTTATTGTGGCGATGATGACCCTAAAATCTCGCGAGAATGGTCTATTCTTAAAACTCTTCAGGCAAAATGATGATACATACACATACAAGAGAGAGGCAGACCAAGAGAAAAAGTCGTGACTTTCGTATGGTGTACAAGCATCAACTTGACAACTACCCTCATCACACATTTTCACATTTCACATTTGTAGACTTTCTAACTCTTGCTCTCGAGTTCCTCTCTCTCTTGTCTTTGGGGTCCCGGACTCCCGATGTACATAATCTCGGTGGAACTCCACCTTCCACAGACTTATCTGTCCATAGTTGACACCGATCTGAATAGATGTCTGGGGCATGGAGGTTTAAGAGGCGTTATTTTAAGTTCCCGACCTCCGAGGCACAGTACTATTTGGTTGTTAGTCCTTTTAAATACAATTGAACAAGTCTTAGGAGGTCTTAAGGAATTCCTCGAGTTTCCGTTCAAGATTGTAGACAATAACAATTGAAAAGTTATTTAAGATTTATAACCATAATGGGTGGATTTCCAATTTTCATGCATGAAATGCTGTGGAAAGAAATTGGTAGTTACAAATCAAACAATCAACCGGTCGTTATACGGCCTGAAACTATTCTACCCGCATGTTTCAAAAGAACTAATGCAGATCTCTGTATGGATGCGCCAGAGATGAAGATTGGAAATACAGTTTTGGGCAGAACGGATTTCAAATAATTTGAACCAATCCGTCCATTTGACAATGACCATGACACCGCGTCATGATCAGCAAATTTGAGCATTTCATGCATGTCGGACACTGGATCCATGACACAGGCTTTGCACTTACCCGAGCACCGCGAAGCGGCGCCAAATTAATATTCCCCGTCGGCAAACATTGGCTCGCAGTCGTGAAGTTTGCTTATTTGCTGAGGAGGAAGCCGCAAAACAGACTGATGGGTGTGCCCAATGAAGTGATGTAGAAATGCAAGAGCATCATATGTCTCATTTCTCGCTTTCAATGCTCTTTGTTGCAAAGGCATCGCTGTGCAATGCAAACACAAACCTGAGGGCTAATAGGCACCGCGGCGTTTTGTTTAGTGTTCAAAATGGCTTTAATGACCCAAAAGTGTGCGGCCGATTGGGATGAACAAATCGAAGCGCAAGGTCGCACACATAATTTGCCTCGAGGGGGATCACAAGTGTCACTTGCGAGGGGGGAATCGGCTGCAAATCATTCTGCCTGACCGCGCTTTCTAGACAATAAGGAGTTTATTGCTCCGCTAATTGACCGCGACGGAAATGCGGCAGCGGCAATTACCCACATTGATGCTTTGTTGTCTGAAAAATTTGGGATGCACACAGGGGAGCTCGGGACGATGCTGGGCAAGACGTCCCTTTGCTCTCGCAAAGAGCAAGGGCCAGAGATTGATTTCGAGCAATCAACTTGTCCGCTCAATTTCATTTGTTTACCTTTGCAAAAACATTCAAGACACCGTACATCGTATCAATACTATACAACCCCACAAGCCACGCACAACAAGCCGTTCCAAGCCCGCTGTTGACTACCTTCAACCCAAACGCCGCCCACGTATTCGCCACAACCGCACTATACAAAGCGGATTGGATTGGTACCCTTGATGTACCAGCATTCACACATGTTCAGAAATTCAAGATGGAGGAAGATGTTATCAATTGGTTTGATTTACATGCTATCAACAAAGCATTAGTTGGTAAGTATCTTTGCTTTCCTTTCCTTTCAGACTATATAAAACCTGATCAAACTACTTGAATCTGTATATTCAGTCTAGAATTGCAACGAGAATGGAAAGCTATATCAACAATCGATCAAGTTCATCAACTCGGTACTCCATCTGGATCTCATCTTTCTTCACCAATATCTCGTCCTTCATCCACACCACCACGAAGGTCTCTGTTCACTCCGTTATCTTGTAGCTCTCAATCGAGTTTTCAAAGTACTCTCAGACAAAAGAAACTCAATCGTTCAAGCTCAGTCACCAGTGAAAATAACTCTGAAATATCTGACTCAAGCCCTACCAATATTCGTAATGAGAATCAAATTCCTATCTTGTCTTTCCTTTTCCAAAAATTAGGATATCACTTTCCAGGCCTCAGTACAGCTTCATGTAAGTTGAATCATCGTACATAATGCTAAATCGAGTTGATACTGATGAAAGCTCTTGATTATTCAGGCTCAGCCGAAGCTGGGACAACATTCAATACTTCTTTCATGACTTTAAGTCTTGAAATTTCTCCACAAGTCAAGAAAGACAAGAGCTCGCCAAGAGAGCTATCATCTTGATGGGTTACACTCGCATCTTATCAATTTATATTGGTTTCATTGTTTGCTTCGTGGATTAGTTTTCAGAACCAGCTTGACCCGATCATCAATTGATGAAATTGGTCGATGAACCTTATGCTCGTCTACCTTTGAATCATTCCTCAATTTGTGCAGTCTATGAAGCAAAACATGTAGGTTTTCATTCTACCTAGTCCAACCTGTTATATGTTCCTAATGCCTTTGTTCAATTTTAGGATACTTTTCTGGTTCACCTTCCAACTACTTCATCGTCTAATGGACCAATACCAAGCTCAGAATTAATCCAATTTCTGCAACAAGTTGGTCATCTCGCATTTACTGTCTCTAATTTATACACTTGTGTGTGTTCTACACCCTCACTTTGGGATGGCCAATCATTGACAAATCAACATCTAGAGCTATGCAAAAGATTTGAACATCACTCAGCTCAGCTTCATAGATAAGAGTTTAGAGGAGCACATTTCGGATGCAGACCCGACAAGCTTCTTGGAAACCTATCGGCTCCCATCTCTCAGTGATGAAGCTAGCGCACCAATCAATAGGCATCAAAGGCCAAGCAGGGTTATTGAGATCTTATTCCTTGTTTAACGTATGAAGGTAAGTCGGACAACATATCTTTCTACTTAAATTGGTCACAGTGAAAACTTAGACCATAAACTTGCGTTTGTTTGAATGAGACGGCGAACTGGATTGTACTTTCAAAATGGTGGCTCAATACGATTCCTTCACAGCTCTCACAAAAGAGTAGAAATTATACAGAAACACCAAATTTTGGGCTTTGCTTTGGGTCGCATCAGAACTACAGTGAGTCAGTAAGCATATGGAACATGTGAAGACAGGTGAATTGAGGTTGGCGTACTTGATTTCTGATAACGTTTCCGATAAAAACCCACCGCTGCCGAGCTTCACGCGGATGAACAGAGCATCACTGTGTCATACCAATTGCACCGTGATTTATACAACAAAGGTTAACAGAAAAAAACAAAATCAATGGTAAATTGCAGGAGTCACATCTTTTTCCTAAACCAAATCTTCACTCTTTCCTTGTGGTTTTCAATTCACGTAGCCTCATTTTCTAAACACTAATTCCTCATGTACAACAAGAATCCGTAAAGTAATCCCTTCAATTTCCTCTCTTTCTTTACTCGCAAAATGATAAGGTACGTTTTCCCCGTTAATCAGCTACACTACGGATCAAAAGATTTGTAATCGTGACATGTTTTCCATCACCTGTTTCCAGCATGTTGTCCTCATATGTTGAAAACATCCCCAGTAAAAATGTAACGTAAACATACGTGATTAAGTTTCAAATATGTACGTTGTACATCAGGGAATCGTCGTGGAAATGTTTTTCTTACATTATAAAACCTTGACTGAACATACACTCAGTTCAAAAAGGAGTCGATCCGATGGGGTTATTTTTTTGAAAAATTGGTTACTGCACCCGCCTGCACGTTGGGGAACTGGGCTCGTCACGAGTTTGGGCTCAAGAACTCATCAAGGTGAGATGGTGATGAGGATGCATTACATCTTTGCATGCAAGGGAAGTGAGTGTACATACAACTTGTGGAGATCACAAACGAGACAAGAAATGAACCACAGCTTTTTATGGATCGGTGTATATAAAGGAGGCAGACTGAAAGGGTATCAATGAATGGAAGCTTGATTCGCTAGCAATTGCGACGCGATTGATCGATTGATCCGATTCTAGGTGACTAAAAAATCAAAAATTGAAGTGATACTTAGAACTTCTATGTATGAGGTCGAGCTGAAGCAGGAGACAAGGTTTATTGACCAAAAGCAAACCAAACGCTGCAAACAAGAGCGATGGAAATGATTGAGCGAGATGGGAAATGCGAAATGGGGGACATGTCAGCATCCAATATTTCATGACTTCATCGACTTAACACAGGTCTGAATATGTGGAGAATGGTGATGAAGAGAAAGAGAGGTCTTACCTGAAGTCGTATAGAAAGAAAAAGGAGTCAAAGAGTGAACAGATGTGAAAAGCAAGCTATGACTTTGCTGAAAGGTTAGTGATGCGAATTCAGCAAAGGTTTTCATCACTTGGTTTTTCAAAGTCAAGCCTCAGGTCTTGGTGCAGGCTTTTCAATCCGTTGGGGCAGTTTATGTTCTGGTGAGGTATTGAGATACCTCAAGAATATATGTTTTCAAATTATGATAAGAAATACATCAGCCTTACATATTTTCTACAAAAACACAAAATCCACATCACGATTACAAAACAGATTTGTCACTGCTAAGTAAGTCCCATGTTTCTCAAATGTCATTACTGGAGGTGTTTTGAAGACATATTTGCCCTTAAAGTTTGGACCGTAGTGTATATTATTTTGTTTGTATCTGCATTTGTGCGTCAGTGGTAATGAACAACATGCTAACTAATTGTCACTTTCAGCCGAGAGATTCTCTCCGACATCCGTTAATATACGGATGTTCGGAGAGTCCTCTCCTCGGCTCGGGTAATCACCCGAGCTCGGGAGTTGGGTCTGTATGTGAAGACATCCTGATAGACGGATACACCGATTTGTAAATACAAATGTATTTGCAAATTGGTGTATCCATACGTTCATGTACAAAACATGCGGCTAGAATATCGGCGTGCGTTATACGTCTTGTTACTTGTACCTCCTACAATACATATCTTGAAATTGCCGAATTTCTTTTTGATCAACTCTTTATCCCCGTCTAAATGTGTCTCACCTCTTGTATGACTTGACTCAGAAATTGTTTAAATCCAACCTATCATTTAAATGATCTATACAATGATTTTTTGTACCCCTAAAAATTCAATAGATTGTACGTTTAGAAGTTAGAAGCCTGTGAGGATTTGAAGTGAATAAGTAGCTATGGTTGACGATCAGAAAACTCAAGGTGGTGTTTTGAAAACTTCCTTTTTACTTGATTTACCTGCGGTTGAGGCGATATCATGAATTCAATCAATTCAAGCTTGAGGAACGTTCGAGGTGATATGTACATGTGTACCTTACACACCTTACAACCGGTCTTTCCTTGGTCTCTCTCTTTCATTGTTCTCTCTCTTTCTCTCTCTTTCTCTCTCTCTGCTTCTCGGACTTATGTAGCCGCTGGTTAAGTTTTCAATATCTATATCTGGTTTAGCTTTCCGGTGTCTGTGTGGTAGGTTTTTTTTCTACTAAGCTGAGGTGCTGGTGTGTGTGTGAGTGAATGAATTAATCTGGACTATAGAATTAAACTTGACCATTTCTTTGATTACCTTTGATTGACCGTGAGCTTACGTTTTGTTCCTTTCCTTTGAATTCGTCATTTTGATCTGATCTTTAGGAAGTCTAAACCCAACTCATTCTTTCTGTAAAAGTTCAATCACCAAAACAAAATCGATCACGACCACTCCCCCAAAAAAAAGGACAAACACCCCTCTTAAAAAACTGACTAAATACTAAACCATAATTTTCTCTCTCTCTCTGTCTCTGTCCAGTGTCTCATTCAATCTCTCTCACCCCATCGATCCCCTTCCTCCGTTACCTTCACTCCCCTTTCTATTTAGTTCGGTATTTGTAGAAATCTCACCATACCCTACGCATAAAGTAAATTTAGAACTCATTAGTATAAATACTTCATCATCATCATCATCATCTTAGTCTTCAGTCCTCCCAAATTTGGATTCGTTGCTCAAATTGTCTCATCCAACTTGACAAACTTCTTCGTGTCTCTTTCATCCTTTTACTTACTTAACATCCAATCCAACCACTTCCTTTGATTTCTCAGTTCCTTTTTAAACCGGTCTAGTCATCCTAAACCCTTTGGATGTTCATTGTCAAACGTCAAACGAAGAATTTCATCATCACCACATAGAACATACCAACACTGCATCCCACTAGTTTATAATTTCCTTTTGCCCCTTGAAAACTGCAACTATTTGTCCTAGTGTAGATCTCGTTCACCACTTTGCTTCAAAAAGCGTTTGTCTTTGCAACTCAACTTCTCATCTATCTTCCACATCTACAATCAGTCAACGATCAACAAACACATCAACGGATCCACTTCAAGAAAGAAAGTCAGTCATGACTAAGATGTCAGGAGTTAACTTTGAAAACATGATCAACTCTCCAACATCACCAGACTTCCACGGATTAGAGACCGAGGATAAGGATGTGCAATATGAATCTGATCAAGATGGATTCTTCGGCGACTTTTGCTTAATGTTAGTCATCCCTTACAAATCAAATCTGATTCATGCAGATCTTCTTATAATGATTTCCTTCGCTCGGCTTGATTTATTCTTTCTTTCTCTGACTGATCGACAATTTCTTCGGAATTTGAATACAGGTGTGGAATCAGATGTCTGGGTGGACACGCTTATTGTTCTACTTACTGTCAACAATTCGAAGTGAACTCTTCAGTGGCATCAACAGCCTCTTCTATCATCTCTTTGGGTCATCATTCATCTGCGATTCCTTCACTTGCACCACTCATCAACGATTCTCTTATGGCCTTACCATCACCACCATCAACTGCATCATCTGCCTCTTCCACATCTGATCATCCAACTCGTCCTCCTCGATCAACTCCTAGACCCACTTCTAGACCACCACCATCTCCATCCATCAAGGCCACCCTTGCTGGTCCTTCACTTTCAGATTCATCAGTCGCTTTACCTGTCTCTGGTCCTGGTCGTCATGCATCGCATGCCCTTCGTCAAGCTCTAGGTACCTTATCGGTCTTGAACTCGGAATCACACTGGGAACCTATCAGGAGAGCTTCTGTGCCAATCTCGAGTAACTGGTTGAAGTCCCTTGTGACCTCTCGTAAAGAAAAGTAAGTTTTGGCTTTCTACCCAACCTACATCATTAAGAGCAGTATATTGATAATTTTTGGTGTGCTTTGTGATTGACAGTGAAGAACCTAGACCAAAGATGCGATCAAGATCAGAATCCATTGAATCAATCAGTCTCATGACCTACTGCATCTGAAACAAACACACCATCATTTCATCCATCAATCCAATTTTTGTCTTTATCATTCAGTTCTCAGTTCTCAGTTCTCAGTTCTCAAGCATGTGATTTTTTTTTCAAATCCAATCAAAATAGCAAAAAACCTTAAAATGGACTTGTTCTCTACATAATCAATACACATTTTCTTCAATCCTTTGAAGTCTTTAAAGTTTTTCTTAAAAATAATCTAGATGTTTTAGTAAAGAAAAAAAAATCTCTCTCTCTCTCTCTCTTGTGTTTGATATACATTGTTCTACTGTTTTTTTTCTTATCATCTTTTTTCTCTTTATTTTTGTTTGACTGTTTTTTTCCCTTTTCTTTTTATTATAGATTTCTTTTATACTAGAACCGAACGAAAAAAAAAACCTAAAAGATTAAAGGTTATCATTTAACAGATGAATAAAATCCGTGTTGATTTCATTAATTTTATTTTATTTGATGTATATAGTTTGTTTTTCTTTTTAGTTTAGTTCTCTTTGTGTGTGTGTGTGGCGTGTTTGTTTACTCTTTTTTTTAGTCAATCATTAGCATTTGTTGTTGTTTTTATCATTATCATCATCTCTCTTCTCTCATCATCATCATCACATTCATTGATTGTTTTTTACCTTTCTGTTTGCAAGCAACCAATTTTTATAACTGTATTAGAGTAAACGAAACAGATATTTATGAAAGTAAATGAGGAATATGTATGAGCTTGGTTAGTGAAGATCGGTTTAAGAAATCAGATTTGATTTCCTTTTTTCGTGAAACTGGCTCTGGTGGTGTAGTTGTTTCTTTGCAAGATGAATCAAACCAATCGAGATGAAAAATATCCTTTGGGACAGGGAAGGATATGAAGAAAGTTGACGGTTTGAGAGATCAGACAAAGTTTTTTTCTGGGTTACAAAGTTTATGGTATGAAGATAATAAATTAATTATACTATATTTATATGGTCCGATAAATGCTGATTCTTCTTGAGCTCTTTTAGATCTTTCATTTCGTTTTGTTTCTCATGATATGCTTAGATTAAGGCCCAAGGGTATTAAACTTAGCAAAGTAAATATGACGTGCTAAATGTGTATAGGTAGGTTCCAAATTTTGTTTTTTTTGCCGGGAAAATGAACTAAAATGACATTTTGAATTATGTACATAATTTGCTAAACATCATCTGAAATATTGTAAATATCCTTGCTAAAAATAATGATATCTGTGTTTATCTGGTATGTGCACCTGGTTGACTTTTTGGCTGGAAGCTGTCAAGAGCTATCAATAGATGTTGACTTGGAAAATGCAGGACCCTGGAATGCGCCTAGTACCTACAGAGGGTAGTGAATTCCAACCTCTTTGCAACCGGGTTTTTGGCTGCATGATCACTCTTCACATTTATTATGGTAGCTCAAAAGATGTGCAAGAGGCAGAGCTTTCATATGCACTAACTTTGAACCCTATCACCCCCATACTTCCTGAAATATTTGAGTGTAAAGCCCAAAAATAGTCAACATCAAACACTGCCAGCATTAAAGAGGTTCCCAGATGGGAATATGGGTCCTAGTGATCACATTCCCATCCTGCTACTGTTACACAGTTCCATGAATATTTCCTGAGTAGCCATTGTGATATATGTAGTCAATATTTTGAGATGTGTGGCTCAATCTGAACAAAGTTACAGCATGTATTACACATGAACTTCTTATCTAGATGAGCAGAAAACTGAGCGGACCTGTATGTAGCTGATAGCTAAGGATTTACTCAGATGTTTGCACATATGTAGTGTATGCTTTATGGCTCAGATGTGCAGTGCAAGATGATTTGATGCACCATTCTTCTCTCAATGATATTCCCAGCCTAGGTCATGTTCCGACCAGGGAACATATTTAATGCTGGCAGTGAAAGGTCGTGATCTGGACCCAGAGGCCATTTCTTGTGCCTTTGCAATTTACACCAAAGTGAACTAAGCTACAGGGCTCTGAACCAGCTCATCTGGTAGCCCTGTTTCATGCATATCTTTTGTGGTGCTTGGGACTATGGGACTTGGACAATGAGTGGTGCTTAGTGTAGCACCTGAAGACCTAAAATGAGCTATGTCACTGCCTCTGTGAACTATAGGTACATTCCCGGCTATTCCAGGCTCCTATGAATAGACAAAGGTTATTGCCAGAAAAGCAAATGGGTTAAAAGCCTGCCAGGTTTTTTGGAAACCAGGTCAGGTTTGAACACAGTTAATGAAATTTAAATATCATTTCCCCACCAACCATGAAATTTGCTATGTCTTGTAACATACTCACTTTAAGTACTCTAAATTGAAGAAATTTGGTAAAGGTTTATTAACCAAAAGAAATTTGGATAAGTTCAGACTTCTAACCCACATGTATATTTGCTAACAGGTTGAATATCTGTTCTTATTTCATTCAACCACAGATGATGTCATTTGAGCTGTTGATCATCTCACCTAACTTTGACCCATTATGTTCACAACTGCCCATTCAATTTTTGAGTCATTTTGCAGTCATAAGAATCTAAGTCATCACATACTCATTCAAATTATCTATTGAAAAACCTTTTAAGTAGAGTAGTCTACAAAAATCCTCTTTAAAATGTCAGTTTCTCTGAAATCCAGATTAGTGATGGTGATAGTCATGGTTTCAAAGCTGCTTGAGTGGGTATCAAACAGTTGGAAGCCCTTAAGATCATCTATGAATCAACAGGTGGTTCTTCCAATAGATCCATGGGTTTAGTCCAATCAAGATATGCAGATATATAGCTTATACCGCTAGAAACTGGTATAAACAGTGGTTGGATCTTATCAAATTGGATAGGGCTGGAGACTGGCCTATATTTACAGGCCAGTTCCTACCAGACAGGTCCCATTGTAAGATAATCAGGACTATGTCCTTGAACTTAAAGCCAATCTGGTTTTACATAACAACGTGCCTAGGAGTTGTTGCACATCACCAGCTAGGACCAACTATCTTGGCACTCAGGTTCATGTCCTTGTGCAAGAACAAATTGACTATGTCCAAAAAGCCTGAGATCTTCTGAACCAACAAAACACTAGTCATTGTGCAAAATCTTTTTCTCCTTTTGAAAGAAGAGATAACCAATCAAATCATATTCATAAAGATGAACATGATGATGAGGACAAGAAGTCAGAATCATAAATTAAAAAAATGAAAAAATCTTAGGACTGCATCAAAATATGCAGTGTTGGTCCAGTAGCTTTGGAAAACTGTTCCGAGAGCACTATCCTTTTCCTCAAAAGTATTCAGAGGGTATGCTCCTCATCTATCAAAAGCCGTCAAAGTTTTTAACAATAGAGTCAAAACAGAATTCAAGAGCCAAATGGAAATTTTTGACTGAGAAGAAGGGTATGGCTACAAATCTTATGGTGACCAGGGAGGATAAGGATATTGAGTTACAAAATGAAAAAGCAAATAGCAAACTTGCAAATTCTTAAGAATGGTTTTATTATTTGAATATCATTTAAAAGACTTATAGTGCTTATCTCTGAAAACAAGGAAATCAAATCAGCTCTCCAAAACCTATCCCCTCCGCCAAAACTCACCTTTTTTGGATTTCACAAGTGGTTTTGGAATTGTGAGATTGAGGACACTGTGTCTATGGCTTTTTGGGATGATTGATAGTTTTTTCTTGCTTTTTGAATTTCAATCTTTAGGACACAACCCCGTTCTACATTTCCTTATTTCCAGTGATAAGCACTATACCAAGAAGTTTTTCCTAGGTGATTTTTTTTCTCAAATACACCAATCATACCAAGGACGAATTCATGCAAGATGGGATCAGAGCTGATTAGGTCTGTGTTTCAAACCACAGCACGTCTCTTAGGGTCCAATTTTCAATTTGTTGAGATGTGTAATTTTCTGACTGGAATCATGAGAGTCTTGGGACAATCAGAACCAGATACAATATGCAAAAATCTTATGACAACAGACCTCAAGGAACTTTTGGAATGGCTTCTACAAGTGCTTGACCATTTAATCAGCATTCTCAATTATCAAAATAGAGTTATCCAAATCATAGTTCTCTTCAAAAAGTGTATAATTCACCTGTTTATTACAGTTCTAATTTCAAACATTGGGGCTTACATGGAGTGGAGGATTTGGAAGGTCTTCAGGTGCATGAGCAGTTTTGTTTTGCACATAATCTTGGAGTCTGTAAGCTCAAGAATGAATGTCCTTGCATCCACCTCTGTGTTGTTTTGGTATTTTTCATTGATACTTGAATCATTTTCTGTGATTGTTGATCTGACATTTGAGTATCTTTTATCAGAATGGCCAAAATTGCAGACAAGACCAAAAGGGATGTGACCATGTATGATGGGGTCAATCTTCAAGAAGCTAGTGTGTATAATGCTGTCAGCCCCAAGCCCTGTTACTAATAGCAAAGGGCTGTAATAAATGACAATAAAATAACAAAATAATACTTACAGCTCATGGCTCAGTTTCAAGAGTAAATTATGTATGCAATTACACATGTACACACTTGTAAATCTAGACTAGGGTGGCCCAGCTCACCTGAACTTGCCCAGTGATTTCTTGGAGGAAGGGGGTATGGCTCCAGGGTCAGCTGAGATAGGCTTGAGGAGCCCTGGGAGCCCCACCACATGTTGCAATCAACTAGAGCGCACGATGAGAGAGACAGAAAGGGTGATTTAGCATTTCATGATAAACAACATAACAAGACAACAAACAAGTGAAGCGACCTACCTAGAGCGCACAATGAGAGAGACAGAAAGGGTGAGGAAAAAGAGAACCCTTTCTGGTCGTGGCTCTAGGTGGAATATATACAAGTATGATTATGTAATCGTACGTAGTAAGAAAAAGATAATGACAAAGATCATGTGATACGTCATAAAGTGAGATAGTAGACTGTGTACAATAGGCTGGGAAAGCACACAACACTAATAAGTAGTCAATGGAATGAAGTGATGTAGTAATGTTCTCATGATGTAAATGATGTAAGAACAGACATTCCAACACCACAGGCCCCAGCTCTTGGGGCACTGGCCCAGGTCTGCTTGAGGATGCAACCAGGCCTTCTTGGGGCCGGGAAATGCCCAGGGGACAGGTCATAGTCCAGACAAGAGGTTGCACTGAGTAAGATAGCCTTTCACAAGTGCACATCACATGAGTGACACAAGAGTTACACATGCACATAATAAAACGAATAATCAAATGATTATATTATGATTACATACAACCAATTAGTATGTAATCAAACCGCAAGTTGTGCTTGAGGGATTTTCAGGGTTTTGAGTATATAAAGGGCTCTCTCACCTGCCAGGAAAACCCATCATCATCATCATTACTTCCAACCAAATTATCAATAACTTCATCAATCAGATTCATAGAGTCCTTGTCCTCATTGTTAAACATTATACATCTCTCTTATTGATCATTACCTTTGTTATTTGTTGAAGTTCTTTTAAAGACTTCTTTGTTTTTGTCGGGAGGTGATCTTTGCAGTACTGCTCAAGTTATTAAAGGATTTCAACAACTTGAGAACCTCTAAATTCACAGGAGTTACTCTGTGTTGAGAGTTTGAAAAACTTGATATGTAGTTAGGAAGATCCCACTTATTGTGAAACATCTTGATTCACTTGTCTCTGAGTCATCTTATTCTCTTGAAGACAAACTTTTTTCAACTTTGTTGGGTGTGGTTTTTGGTGGTATTTATAGACTAAGTGAACTGACAGTTCTGGATTCTAAAAAGTTTTTTGATGAAAAAAGATTAGAGTACAAGCATCTCTCAAATTTTTCACATGCAGAAAGTTTGTGCAATATCAGTTACCATATTCAAAAGGAGATACAAATTTCCTAGGAGCACCATTCATGGTTCAAAAATTTCACAATTTCCCCGCTTGACCTTGTCTACTATTAAAATCATATTTATGTGCAAGAGATGGCAAATACATTACATCCACAGAGCTTTTCATGACTTCTGGAGGCATTCCTCCGTCTTCTGCTTGGTTTCTGTCAAGATTCTACAATCATTTCAACAAAACTTTTTCTTTCTGGTCACTGTTTACAATCTGGTGGTGCTAAGGCTTTGGCTCAAGCAGGTGCCATGATGGATTACATCAAGAGTGCGGGAAGCTGGTTGTCTGAAGCCTTTTTAATGTATGTTTGAGGACATGTTGCCTTACAAGTACCGGAAAATCAAAACCATGTAATTGGGCATGTGTGTCATGTGGGATTAAAAGTTTCCTTTTCTTAGTGAGTTGTTTGGTTTGAGTTTTTATTAGACTGGTCAAGGGCATTTTTAAGCCTCTGTCTACATATCTTTCACCGGTCAATAGTATTTCTATACCTTTGTGAATTAAACATGTTTGTTCTTGGTCAATGGTTTTTGTGCCAGAACATTATTTTGGTTCTGGGTTGGTTGTGGTTTGGATACTGACAAATGGTTTTGCTTTCTACAGTCATTTAAGAAGAGCTTGCCCCAAATTCCCCGCCAATTTGCTTGAGTTTTGCGGGCAATTTGGGGCAAGCTTTTCTTAAATGACTGTATTTATTTTTCCTCTCCTAATTCACCACTCTGCTTATACCGTTTTATAGGCAGGTCGGAGAGGATCTTATTTTTTATCGAGCAAAAACCTTTTATTCTGTCCTTGATATTTTCCATACATACTAAACTTTCATAAGTCTCATGTTCCGCATATCGAAAATTTGGTTTGCAAGTAAACATGTCTAGATATACTCTATGATTATGTGATTATAAAGGAGTTACAAGGTTGAAGGGCCAAGGGAATTTCTGATTAAAACAGCAATACAGTCAAACCCGCGCTAATGCATAAATTGGGGAGACAATTTTTGCTATGCATTATTGCGGGTTATGCAAATAGGGATAAACCCCCATAATGCATATTGTATGCATTTAGGCCTAAATGCATTGAAATATGCATTATGACGGGTTTTTGTTGAAATTGTATGAGTTTATGCAATAGTACGTTTGTATTTTGCGCGGGTGAAAGGACAAGATATTTTTTCGACGCAGAAAAAAACACCACTAGGGGTTGGTTTGACCCCATAGAGGGCTCATTGCTGCCTGATGTTGCCAAAATCCTACTTGCAAAGGATTCGATCAGAGTTCAATGAAAAAAAAAACACATCCTGGGGCGCTTTGTAGGCATGCATTATGACTTTGGGGACTTGAAAAGAAGTATGCATTATGGTTTTTGACATAATTATGCAATTAATGACAAAATTGGCCTGCACCAGCTGGGTGGAAACCAAAACATATGCATTTTGGCTGGTTATGCATGTGCGCGGGTATGCATGTGCGCGGGTTTGACTGTAGACCACATACCTTTTGAGCAACGTTGAGATTTCTTTCATTAGATTCCTTTGTAGTACAAGTCATTTTGGGAGTAGTGTCAGTCATTGGGTTGATCAGTAAGAATCACGAGGGAATGAAGGTGTGACAGGTTAGTTGAAAGGTTGAGAATGAAATCGTTGACATGATCGAATTGAAATGATTTTGAATTTGCGTCATCCTGAGACTGATTACCTTCATTACCATTTGAGTCTTTCCTCATTCGCCATCACCATCATCATCATATTCTCAGCATTCAAATCAGATTTACATTCAATCGTCAATCTCAGGCCAAAGCTCTGTAAACAAATTCGAGGGTTCCATTTTGCCCATCCGGAACTGTAAGCCTCTTACCATCTCAGGATATTCTCATTCATCGTGATCGGTGTTTAACATTCATCTCCTAATCAAATTTAATGACCCTGACTGTTTGGATTAGAGAACTCTTTCAAGTGTGACTGGTTGCTTCCACGGATACTGTGACAGGTTTTGAGCAACAAGCTTTCTGTTGATACATTTTACAATCAGGATTCCTCTGCTCTTCATTTTACAAAATTCAATTTGGAGAAGTTCACCCGATCGCCAATTCTACTGTCCATCAAACTTTCAATCTCTTACCAACAACGCTCCTATTCCTCCGCAAGCAGCTGATTTATCAGGTGAGGCGTCTTACCATTTATTTTCAAGTCATATTTTACTTGAAAGGTATTGCGTCAATTCCTTGACCATTCGACTTACCAACCAACTTGATCTAATGTCTGACCTTACTATTTTGTTAATCTAGGTCTTTTACATCATTTACGCTAGTGTTTATTGACGATTTGAAAGGTTCGCGCCAGTGTATTCACACAACCTTGCTTATCACGCTGCAGTTTGTTTTCGGTTGGAATCTGAGAATTTATCTTCACGTCATCTTAGACTTCCAAGTCTACAACATCAAAGGGAGACAATGTCCCAGCATCGGCATCTGACTGATCCCAGTTTACCATCCACCACCCTTCAACCGGACTACAGCAATAATGCAATCGCGATGTTATATCGATATGGTCCGAAGCGAACGACTGATCATTCCGAATTGAGGCGCTTAGTTTTAGATTACTTGTGTCACCAGTGCTTTGTTGATACAGCAGCTGCATTTGCTCGAGAAGCACCGGTCAATGGAACTGTTGAGGATAAAGACTGCAAGAACACGAACGAGTCTTCACTCAATGGCGCATCAGCTCAAACTTCGAAAGTCGGAAACAGTAATGGTGTAGCTCCGATCCATTTACCGGTACCTTTGAAAGATAATGTTGTTGAACGCACGGTCCGATTTGATACGGACGATGACGGCGACACAGAGATGGGTGATCTAACCGCAACCAGTCTGAATCCCACGGATGAACCACCAAGTGATATAGGCCAACCTTCTGGTCTTGATCACCCTGCCAACGCTCATGATAATTCCACTAGGAATGGGGTCAAAGACTCGAGTGACCAATTCATGCTTGATGGTCCTGCTGTGGCTCCTGTTACGTCCATATCTGAGACTTATCCTGATTGGACAGCTAGTGATATTCATAACACACAACTCCGGCTACGTGAGTTGATTCACGATCATGCACCTTATTTCTGAGCTGCCTACGTCGCACCCAAACTATTTACTGATCCTTCTATTATTGTATCTTTTGTAGTCATCAAAGATAACATTATCTCTGGTCGATTGAAGGAAGCGATCGGACTCATCGATCTCTACTTCCCCGCTGTACTCGGCCCTTCTGCCTTATCAAAGCTACATACGACCTCACTATCTGCTTCTACAACTGCTTCAGCCACCTCAGCCATCAAATCTTCTAAGGCGCCGCGTCAAAAGCCCGCCCGTGTGATGTTCAACGTCAGTCGACCACTCGGTGGGCCTACACCTAAACCACCGCCGATCGGCTCAAGGCAACCAAGTTACAGCTCTGCGCAATCTCATGCGACTCAGCCGCGTCAAACAACATCATGGTCATCAAGTTTCAAGGAGCCTGAAGCAGGCTTACTCGCCGGTCGCAACAACACATCTTCAAATGCCGAAGAATTTCCTCACGCAATGTTCTCATCTTTACAGCCTGCCCATATTGCACTCAATCTACAGATTCAATACTTTGTTGAATTGGTTCGAAATTCATCACACGCCCCAAGTCAAACAACTACACTAGAAAATGATCACGTTGGAAGTTCTTCAACTACAAACGGTGCCGCTACAACCAATCTCATGTCATCAGACATCTACGCTAGTCTGAGTGAGGGTAATTCAGGAGGATCAATGAATCGACCAGTTTCAGCAAATAACAATCATCATTTGAACAAAACCAATGATCTAGCCACTTCAATTGGAGCCTTAAGTGATGATACATCTACAAGTTCATCATCTACCATGTCATCTCGTACACATTCTATTGCACTCTCACTTCCACATGCAAGATCACTGTTTTGTTATGTTCAAACATTACCTAAACCGAATGAAAGAGCGATCTTTGTGAAAGAATTAGAAAGTGTTTCAGGTCTATTGGCTTATGTAGATCCTTGGAATTCACCTATCAAAAGATATCTTGATCAATCTCGTCGAGATATGTTGGCGGAGATTGTGAATGCAGCAATCTTAGGTTAGTTATCACATGTGACTACATATGGGAGATCCAATTGCTGACTTTGCTTACTTTGACTTCTTAGTTCATCTTGGTAGATCACCTACACCTATTCTTAAAATGATTGCTCAACAAGCATCGTTTACTTGGTCAACATTGAATGAAACTGGAGAAAGAATTCCATGTCCGAAAGCAGATGATAAAAATCGGACAAGAGTAAGTAAATCTTGAATTTCTATACATAGGAGTTGAATCCACATTAATTGAATGTTTTTATGATGTTGTTCTTTTTAGCCTTGTAACTTTTTCAATTTGAATGAGTTTGTGAGCTTACATGACACTGGTGGAGATTTTTGAAAATCTCTAAAAATCTATCAGTTGATGTTGTTTCTTTGGATTTACGAAAATTGGTGGAATGAATCTAGTAGTGTGTGATTGAAGTGATGTAATTGAAACTTACCGTACTTTATTTTTTTCTTAGTTCATTTGGTTTGTTTTATTGATGTTATTGTAAATGATCATCACAACATTTACCAAAAACTGAATAGAAGTGATTGATAAGTTGCATGAGGTTTAGGATTTCAGGTATGGAAATGATAGACTATTTTGTTTGTTTTCTTTTGTTTCTCTTTTTATTGTTGATGAAGTTTTCTTTTCGAAAAAAAATGAGGTGTGTATGAAATGTATACAAGTAATTTAGTCATCTATCTTATCACTTTGTTGTTTTTATTTTCTCTCTGTTTTTCTTTCTGATTTTTTCTTAAATGGTAAAAACAATTTTTTAATCTTTATGACTACTATGGTGCATTAATTCTGAGTAATGTAGTGGAAAGAGAATTTTGAGGAATTGTAGATTTGAAGAATTGGTTGATATAGACTGTCTTTTCATGAGGTCATAAATATGATCCATCTTCCGTAAGGTGTGTGACAAGAAAAGTGACAGCGGATGACCTAATATATTCACCTTTGGGTAAAGACCCAATCAAGAATCCTACGAGAGAAGTTTCTTTTCTTCAGGACTGTCAGTGTGACTGATCCTTCCATTTAGGCCCTATCAAGAATTGTTCTTCATAACAATGATGATGAACAAGTACTGTCTTGAGCTCAAAGCTTACAGGTGGGTATCAAAACTCATTGCAAAATGTAAAATTTGTGAAATTATGTTTATCAAATGTATTTCTGGCAGTGATCCAAAAATCAAGATATATTAAATTGCAAGCAAGAGAAAAAATATGTCTATCACAGATCATCTGTGTAGATAGTAAAAGCGAATAATCAAAGCTTCATATCCAATCAAGGTCCAAGCCAACCTCGACTTAACAATACTCTACCAATCTTGGCAGTCATAATAGCTATTGTGGCTTTTAAGATGGTATTAAAAGTAGAAAGACCAGGGATTAGACGAGCTTGACCAGATTGAGTTAGATCACTTGGAAAGTTATCTTGTTGTCTATTTTGTATTTTCAAAGAAGAACAGCAAGATTATGAGTTTCTTTGATGAATGAATTTGTTGTTGATTGATTGACAAAATGTAAAGGTAAAGATTTAAAGAAAACTTACCTCCAGATTCGATATTTACCATCTTCACATTTCTTTAAATCTATACGTACTAAAAATCTAGCTGGTAATTGTCTTGATGATAAAAATGGATTCCATCTAAGATTAACCCATTCCGTAAGATCTACAAAGAACAAAACATTGGGAAAGTTAGAAATTTTGATTTAAAGGTAACGAAGTGAAATGATGTTTTGATCAAGTGAATGAAAAAAAACTCTAACCTAGGGCACCTTGTGTCATATCTTCATTGAACATTACTGCATGGAAATCAATCTTGTTGTTCACAGTCATAACACGTCTATCAAAAAGTTTAAATTAGTTAATGTGAGTCAACATTATTGATATAGACTCTGAATCATAGATGATTAAACTTATAACTAACAGCATCTTGTAAATTCCTTCCAAATCGTCTCTACCATTCACAGAAGCGGGTTGATTGAGAAATGGATGTTCAATAGTGGCATCAGCAGTAAAATACCTAAGCGAAAAAGTAAGTGAAGAAAGTTAATTTTCCTCTGAAAATAGATTGAGTGGATTGGATATGGAAAGTAAACACCCACTTCCTAACGTTTGATGCGAGCACAGTGGCTTCATATGGCTCAGTGATGGATCGCACAACGTCTCGGATCTGAAGAATAGATTTGAGAACAGGCGTCAGAAATGATAAAATGTATGCTAGAGCAGGTTAGAACGTATATTCACCTCTTCAACAGGGTTATCCATTTTTGATTAGTTGATTGGTTTATTGGAAGATTTTGAAAGTTTAGAGTCAGAAGGTTTGGTAAATATGAGTTGGTTGAAAAGTATGATGAGTGTTTCGATTGTGGAATTAAGTTGATGATGGACTTCTTGAAGGTTTTATACCCCTTCCTTTGGATCACCATTCTTGCTAGGTTCATGAAGCTGACTAAATGATGGCTTGCATGCCAGGTCGCACTCGGAGTTAGGCTTTCGGTCCAAATTGCAAGTTAGCTCGCCATGGAAGCCAAGTAAGTCTTCAATCCCATGGGACACAGTCAGTCCAGATTGATTTCACGCATCGAGAGAACTCAGTCGGTCGGAAAATGTCCAGTATGCTTCGTGGAATACGCAAATTCAGTAATCACCATGAAGACGTCATCATTCAAAAGTCAAGACCCTCAGCACTGAGCAGCGGGAAATTCGATTGTGTGGCAGTCATCCGAACCATTCAGCCTGGCTTAAAGCTTTCACTCACGTTATGATGATGAGCTTTGAATGCATCTGAGCATCGTTCTCGGGGGCGGGCCATGCGTGGTCACCCCAAGATTGTTGAACAAGTATATATCTGTCTTTCTTATTACATTGTCACTTTTCCATCAGCGTAGCTAAGTCTTACTCTTTGATGCAAAAAAATCAAGTGAGCAGAGATGATCTTTCTCAATCATCCGCCGCAATCACCGGCGTATCATCACACTTGTTCAAAAAATGTGACACATATAACATTGCACGCTTTTTGATGCATAACCCATATCCAGATGTCATATATGATGATTTTCTTTCTCAATCCCCAAACCAACCAAGTGATAAAAACAAATTCCCCATTTTACCCGCCCAAGCAGTAGTAGTTTCTCTAACCAGTCGACTAACTTCACCTACTCCTGGTAAAATCTGAGAAACTAATCCAAACAATGTAACATCTGAGATAGGTATATCAAATTGTCTTTTGAATCAGAGAGAAATCAGCTTGGATAAACACTCTTTCAATTTTTTTGGAATTGACCTCTTACCTAGAGATTCGATATTTTCCGTCTTCAAATTTCTTCAGATCCAAAATGACTAGTAACCTACCTTTAAAGATCCTTGACCTGATTATTGGTATGTTTCTAAAATAGAAATCTTCAGTAAGATCTGGGGAGGTTAAGAAAATATTCTGATTAATGACCCGTTTGTGAGAAAGTCGTAAGAGATAACAATTGAAATTACCAATGGCACATGAGGTCAAGTCTTCGTTGAACATAACAGAATGGAACCAGATCTTTTGATCTATAGTAAACATTCGACTAAGTAAAAGATATTAACACTTCTTCCTTTGTCCGAAACTAGAGTCGTCATCATAACTCACAATATTTTATAAAGTCCAACTAATTGATCTCTCGAATTTGGTCCACGTGCCAACTCTAATAGATAAATTTGATTTAAGAAACAATCGTTTTCTCAATGGTATGTGAGTAGAGACTCACCGCCAACTAGATGTTGTATGATGGCATCTGTTGTATAATATCTAGGCAGCAGCGAAGAAAAATGGTAAGTGAAACTTGCTTTTCGAATCTTTGATCTTAAAATAATGTCACTTACTTTTCTATATTCTTAGCAATTTCAGACGCTGCATATGGCTCAGTGACTCCCCTTACAACGTCTCGAATCTGTGAAATCATAAACAAAAGATCAAGTTTGTGGACTATTTATCTGAGATATGGCGTTTGAGTTGATTATAACGATGATGAATTCAACAGGAAATATAAATTCACCTCTTTCACTGGATCTTCCATCTTTGATAGTAAAAGTTGGATACTGAACGGTTTAGGATCTCAAACCCGATTGTTGGATGATATATGTAAGTCAATTTGAATCTTACTCTGAAGGATCTGAAGTCTTTCTGTGTGTGGATCTTTTGGTCAGGTCGCATTTCGAACCTTTATATATTTATCAATGAAATTTGTAATTTCACAATTTGTTATAAATAAGCAAGATCGCGGGCAAAGGTTCGATATCTCCGACCGAATAAGCAGGGTAAGGCTCTTTTACATGTCTCGCTCCGAGCAAACTCGTGTATGGTGTGAGGGAGCTAGGTTCACAAAACGTAATGAGAATATCTTGGTCATCAATCCAGGAACAAAGCTTCCCTTTACAAAGTGGTGATCTGGACTGATGTGGAACTTATTAAGATACTTTTTAATTTTCATCTGATCTTATTATGACATCATTGTTAATTATTATGTAGTATGAATTTATTCTTTTTTGATTCCTTCTGCAATCTACTTTTTGCAAGGTTATACGAATATACAAGATTGAATGTTTCGTCTTTCATACCACTTGGTGATTCTAATGTGGCACACATCATATGAGTACTACATGTACGATAAGATCAGAGCCTTTGTATAATATAGATGTGTCAGAACGAGGATAAAAAATCTGCTTTATAACGATCCACAACATTGATGTGTTGATAGACTTGAATCATGAACTCATGTTCTATATGAGAGGCCCATGTAGCTGTCTATTGGTCATCAATATCAGGAGTTGAAGGAGAATGAATAAGCTCAAGGATAGAGCTCAATTCTGGGTTCCCACCTAACTTCTCGGATTCTTCCTTTGCGGTTTTCTCCAATTTACAAATAACATCGAAAGCATGATCTAATGATTTTGTTTGATCATTCATATATCTTAATGCCTTTCTCTTCGTGGCCTCATCTTTTGGACGTGACCGTAAGGTATCTAATGAAGAGAATGATTGTTAGCTTTTCATAAAGTTGAGAAAAGGAATGAATTTGAATGATGTTAAGAGCATCTTACCCATCAATAGACTGTTTGAGCTATCAGCCTTTACTGCATGAATGATCGGAAAGCTAAATTTTCCCTCGGAAAAATCCTCGCAAAATCCTTTATCTTCTGTAAACTGTCACAGCATGTTCAAGAAAAAGTATGGTTCATAATCAATCTCAAGAGTGATGAAATAAATTCATGTGTTGAAACTGACATCGCGAGATAGGCTCAAGAGATCATTTTGAATTTGAGCGAGGATACCAATTATATTCACCAATGAAAAGCAGTCACTGTTCCCATATTATATATGTCAGAGTTGGCTACAGAACTAACATTATTCAAAAAGTTCCTAACTCACGGTAGTGATTCCACTGGAGATAGAGCTTGCAACAACTTGATTGGCAATCGAAACATAGCTCCCGTTTCTGTGCGGAAGACGACCACGAATCAGCATCGATAGGAAAGGAGAACGAAAGAAGTTATAGACTGAACTGTTGTGTATCATTCGGAGATACTCTTCCTCTGTAGGGCATATCAAGGAGTCCCTCCAGTACAAATCTTTCCCTTGACCGCGATGAAGTGCCACAATCTCATCTGAACCCAGAACCAATATCAGGGCGTGGGATCGTTAACTTTGAACAAGGCTCAGATGATTGTTTACCATCGATAATGCTCCCCAAATCAGTGGTCTCAGGTGATTTTAAAAACAGTGTTAGTTTTGAGATGTTGCGGTAGGCATCAAAGACCACATAACTGAGAATTTGGGTGGTCACTAAGTGTATTAGAAAGGCTTCATGGGCAAGAGAGAGAAGAAGCGTGTCACACATACGTGGCTGTGTTTATAGTCTGCGCCACACCGTATACCGTATGAGCCACTGAAGCAGAAACATTTTATATCAGTGAGATCAACGGGAATTAGGACTGATAACATACCTGGTTTCCCTTTTCTCAAATCGGAATCATCTTGGATGTCATCGATTCTATAGAGGTAGATTTTGATGAAAGGTGTCAGATCACTCATATGAAAATGTAAACAAATCAGAAGTTACAAACAATAGACTGGCAGCATGTGTTGGTCCGACGATCTTCAAAATAATATCGAGCGCAGGCCGTGGAACTTGATACCAATGATTGAAAGCCTTGGTGACCATGGCTGGAAGCTCCTTATCAGTGTTGATTCCAAGATACGTGTAGGGTTCAAGTATGATCTCAAAGAAACAAAAGATAATTCTTAAGCTGGAAGCTGTGATAAAAAAAGATATGACCAAGTATACCTTTTCGTCAGGTTCACTCCACTCGTTGATAGTAGGGAAGTGTTTGTAAATGTCATCATAGATACTCATTCTGAACGTTAGTAAGATAGAAAGAGTTGGATGATAATGATGTGATCGAGATTTTCTGCAAGAACAATACGATGGTTTTAAAGTGCTAGCGTGCTGGTTCTGGGGGTGCAGCAGTTTGGAGAAAAAATGACACCCTCCTTAGATTTTTGACCCTTTTTCTTATCAAGGTTGCACTACTGACGTAGATTCTAAGTACGCGCAAGAGCTGAGCCAACTTCTTCAGGAGTGCAAATTCTGTGAAACATCAAATCACTGCGTTCTGTGTATCCGAAACGCACAATCTTTTTTTTGTATGCTGGCGACCAAAGCTCAGCATGACAATGCGCATCCCTGCACACAGGCAGGAAAAGCTTCATTCCTTGCTCTTAACTTCCAATCCCTATGGTCAGATTTCACATCCCAGCTCAACAGATGAGTTTCATCTACATGGATAATCGGAGAGCTGGTGAAGACAAGCGGAAAGGTAGGAGAGAGACTTGAAAAAGGAATGAAGCTCTTCCCGCCTGGGTGCAGGGATGCACATTGTCATGCCGAGCTTTGGTCGCCACCATACAAACAAAATGTTGCGCGTTTCGGATACAAAGAAAGAGGTGATTGGATTTTTCACAAACTTTGCACTCCTGAATGAGTTGACTGCAGCTCTTACTTAGAATCTACGTGTAACCTTGATAAGAAAAGCAAAAATCCAAGGGGGGTGGCATTTCTTCTCGAAACTACTGTAGTCTTTGAGAGTCAGCCCATCCATAGTTGGTTACTCTACGGTAATTATTTGTCCTTTGCTTATAGTTTATATATGTATCTTATCCAAACTAGGTGCGAAGTTATGAAGATTTTGTTGCTGATGTGATTTGATTCGCGGTGAAAAACTCGATATCCATCAGATTAATATTGAGAAGAGTTGCAGTCTGAGTTTTTAACATCCAAACCTTTCCTTTGTTGAGGTAAGGTTGTATCATTCGTCAGCTTATGTGGGCAGAGGAATTCCGGGGTGCCCGCAACTCGCGAGTTGCGAGCTCAGGTCGCAGTCACACCCTTCCATTTCGTGCGTGCATGTAATTTACGTGGTAGAGAACTTTTGGCTCTAAGGTGTGAACTTTTCTGTTTCAAAAATTAGTATATCACATCAACGTTCAATCTTGTATTCTTGCCTCTAAAACCTCTACTATCAACTGTCAGGCAGCAGTCAAGACAATCTCCCTGCTTGCAAAACAATAAACAAATCAAAACATTGCGGAGTCTACAAATAATACACAATTTTTTTTTCGAGGAACACCAGCAGTGAAAAAAGAGCAAAATGATGAAATTGAAAAAGAGCCAAATGAAAGAGAAAAAGAAGGAATTCAGGACAAGAGAAACATGCCCCCAAAGATGAACAGCAATCAAAACATAGAAAACATTCTCCAAAAATGAAAGGATAGAACATGACAACAGATATTAACAATGATAAAAGATTGCCTACATATAGTCATAAAAAGCCCTGGAGTGATGGAAATTATAGGAGGTGCGCGAGAGAAAAAGAAACTAAATCAAAAGACAGTAAACTAATATAAAACATTCCTAAAATATGCTGAACGGATCAGATACGCCTAAAGTGGAACCGTAGAAATCATGAAAGACTGAGGAAATTAAGCTAGGTAACAGAGTAAGGGCTGTGAGATGAGAGTTTTCTACGAAGATGATGTTTCCAAGTCATTCAAAGCGATTCTGATGTAGTAGGAGTGGGGTTCTTTCTGACGATGCGTTATAGGTGTTTATATATACGAAAGGCCCAGAGATAGAGTGCTTGTTGATGTGTGATTGGGGATCTCTCTCAGTGGGAGCATAAGGGGGCGGTCTCTCTGAGTCAAGCAAGGGTGTCTAGATCAAAAGCAAAACAAGGCCTTAGATCATTCACTCTAAATGAAACAGACAAGTCGAGAAACAAAGGCAAGTGACTTACAATCGATCCATTTTCTGATGAGACGGAGGAATTATCTGTTTTGCAGGTTGGATTTCGAAGACGAGCGAGGTAATTCTTCAGGGAGGCTAGTTTGCGACTGAAATACCGTGCCAAGACTATCAAAATCAAAACATAATGTAATTGTATTGCGAATCCCTCGTTTGTTCTATGGATTATTGCCCCTGTGGCGGTAGATAAAGATTCAGAAGGATTACAGGGAGCCATTTTGTGGTGAAGTTATACGGTGAAAGCTAGAGCTTTGAGAAAAAGTTGATCGAGTTTGTAGAGCTTAGAATTCAAAAGAAAAGTTTTGGAATTGAATTTTTAGGAGGATGGAAGTAGGATGATAGCGAAAGGCATTCTTCCATCTTCGACGACGTTATATAGCCTTTGTTCGATGCCTTGAGTTCATGTTGGAAACGGCGCGCATTGGAGTCCCTTCAAGTTGGAGCATAGATTATCAGATCAAACCTCCATTGAAATCACAATCTAGCGGCTCTTTACTTTCCCAGGGCAAACGGATGAAGAAATACGGCAAAGCGCGTCCCGATATCTTCAAAGCGTCCTCTTTACTTTCAAACAACCAAGCAAATTCCACTGGAGCGTTTATATTAGATGCGATGCTCGATCCCACGAACCTTTTGCATCAAATGGTGATACCAGTCTGAATCTCAACATTCTCTTATAATCGATGACCCAGTGAAAGCTCGCTGTACTCTATCAATTCCAAAATGATCCTTTAGCAAAATTCCTCAGTCTGTTCGAAGATAGTAAAGCATGCAAAGGGCACGAGGAGATAATTTTTGAAAAAAAGGTCACCAAACTGTCTGTCTAGCTGTTCATTCAACTGGGTTTTTCAGTCAAAGAAATATCGTTTCTCTAGATACCATCCAAGACTAAGTAAATCTCCATGTTGTGTGCATAAAGTACACCTTCAATCCTGGAAGCTCCCGAGCCACCGTCACAAATGTTTCAAATGCTTTTTTGGAGTAGAATAGTCTGAGGACTCTGAGGTTGGTTCTTGACAGAAATTAGAGGTTTTGTCCTTGTGTTTAATGAGTTGTTGACGAGTTTAAGTCTGGGATATCTTAATATATGACTTAACTGTAAGTCTCAGGTGATAGGTCCTTTGATTTGGATTTGACAAACTCATCCAATAGGAGGTACAACAACACGACCCATTCAAGTTCAAGTTTACATTCTCAACCTCAACAAGTCATTCTGATAGCTCGACCAACTCATCAATCCAGAACACTTGCTCAAGAATCTGAAATCCGATGGCTCCTCGCGCTCGACCTGCTCATACAGAAGTCTTTCACCCCAACTTTGATCCAGGCGTGACAGGTTGGTAAGTCGAATAAGATTGACCGTATCATAGCCGTACGCAGCTTTATTTATTGAAACCACGCGTTTGTAAAGTCGAACCGGTATTGTACCCCCCAAAGACGTCCGAAGAGGTTCAGATGGATTTGAGAGATTTTCAGATTACGACCCATCACCCCAAAAGTTCTCACCACTTAAGCAATCACCTCTCAAACAAGCGAAACGAATTAGAACTCAAAGACCTGACAAATTTCATGAAATAGGAGAAAGAGGAAGGTGTGTATTTCAGTTCAACAAACACGCCTCTCAGATTCAAAAGTCCCAGACTGACGCGTCATTGATTTGATTCTTTTGTATAGGAAGACAGGCGTCAGTCCACCAGCAAATGCACCACGTGGATCAAATGGGTTTGAAGATTTTGGTGCATATCTTGCTAAAGCTACGGAACTAACAAACAAGGATATCGAACGTGAAAGAAAAAAGAATGCGATCATCTCACGTAATGCGAGAAAGATGTCAGTGGCTACATTTGTTGATGATGGAGAAGATGACTCTGAGCTATATCGAGAAGAAAGTATGAGTATCATCAATTCAGGTATGCAGTTTGTAGTTTCTTAACATATTCCTACATCAATTCTATTGGCTGACAGATAATGTTGATTGCTTTTCTAACATTAGATGTAGAGTCATCCAGACCTCCTCACGCTTATCACCGCGCCGAGTCAGCCCAACGTGGCGCAAATGGCAGAAATGGTTCGGTACTTCGAAAAAATCGCGGTGAAAGTCCAGACTCAGCAAGTAGTCCGGTCCGAACCGCACACGACTCTGAGCTTCTTAATTTTGAACCAGCACCCGAAGAACCTGTTCAGAGGAAGAATAAGAGACAAATCAATAGTCAATCCCCTGATCAAGATCACCGAAATGATAAAGGAAAACAGAAGGCGTTTGAAAATGGTTACGATACCGATGGGAGTGATGGTGGAGGTGGCGATGGATTTGATTATGACCAAGGACCTCAAGACGATGATCACAATGAAGAACTGGAGCCATTGGAAGATATCCCTGAAGAAAACGAAGAAGATGAGGGTTTAGTAAATGGAGAAACTGCTGAAACACGAGAAGCTGAAGCCGCTCAACCTAAGCGGAAAAAACAGAATATACGACGTGTGTTGTATCTCTGGCTCTATCGAATTATATCCACTTGTGATCATCATCTTCTGATCATGTTTGCATCTTTCTCTCATCTAGCGCCGCCTCCTTCGAACGGTGTTCGCAAGAGTGGCCGGCAACGATTACCACGATTAGCACACTGGCGCGGCGAGCGAGTGGTGTACGGTCGCTCTCGTACCCCAGTGGGCAACTTACCAGTTGTTGGAATGGTAGATGTGGTCCGCGTTCCAACTGAGCCAGTTGAGCCTTTTGCTATGGCACGTAACCGACGAGCCGCCTCTAGAAGGATCAAATCTGAAAGTGTACCGCCAGGAAGTCAAGGCCAAGCGCTCGGGAATGGTGGTCCCGAAGTAGATTCAGAGACTACCTCCTCTGGTGTAGTTTTTAGTCAAACCAAACAATCTGAATGTTGGAGAAGGGTCGTATCTACACGAAGAGATCAATCTGCTGGACGTGAAAAATTAGCGGGAGGAAATGATCAATTCCAATTTCAAAGATTGTTTTCTGAATCCGATTTTGCTGCATCTGGAATCTTATACATTCCAATAGGAAAAGCTAAACCAACTAAAGCATCAAAAGACAACTGTTATGTAAGTCTATACAGATCATTGAGGCTTTATACTTGTCACCTATTCTGAACTGACTGAGTGATAAATAATCTTGTAGGATTTTATTGTGCTACGTGGTAATGTGTCAGTAAAAATCCATCGGACAAACTTTGTAGTTGGTCCCGAAGGCATGGTACACGTCCCCCGTGGTGAGTGGTCTTATACGTTCTTTTTGGTCTGTACAAGTTTATCTAGACAAGAAAGGTTGATTGATTCAATCGCTTTGATAAACAGGTAATCTCTATTCACTTGAAAATGTTGGAGATTGTATTGCCAAAATCGCTTTTTCACAATCTCGTCGAATTACAGCCGGTAGTGATCCAGATGAAGAATCAGATGGAGTAGAACAACCACTTGATGAACGTTCAGATGGTGAGGATGAAATTAAAAAAATCGCCAAACAACCTGATAACGATGATGATGATGAAAATGAAGGACAACAAACTTCTTCAGGATAATCTTTTTTTTTCGATTGTTTCTTTTATGAATCTTGAATTATACGTTGTTATACTTTTTGTGAACATGTTGTTGATCATCCTTTCATCTCTGTTCATACGTTCATCATGTCTTCTTTCTTTCTTTCCTCGGATCACTTCTGTTGTTGCTTCCTCAAGTATTTGATACTATCATTGTTTTCTGACTTGGTTATCTTTCTTTGTGGCTTAAAGACAAAATGAAGAGTTGAATGTTGTAATTTGATTTCAGTTGGCATGGAGGAATTTCCTCAATGCATCTTCGACGACAGACCATGTATCACGCGGTGCCGGCTGGTCGAAATCCGACTGGGGAGAACAGCCCCAAGGAGGTTTGGCCGAGTGGTCTAAGGCGCTGTGTTTAGGTTGTTCACACAACAGAATCCGCAGTCTTCGGGCGTGGGTTCGAATCCCACAGCCTTCAATTTATTTTTGTTTTTTCGCGCTGGAGAAGTCAACATCCCTCTTGGATTCCAATCTCTTTTTTCTGAGCATCCACAATTGTTTGTGTTAAATTTGGAGTTAACAGAGCTAAATTTAAAGATCCTTAGCTGGAGTCTGGAACCTAATGTAAAATCTCACAGTTGTTGTCTTTAACTTGGAGTTAAAGAAAGCTAAACTCCAAGTTAAAGACTGGGCCTACAGTCACCAGCTCTGGATTGGAGCTGAGTAGCCCTCAAATTCAGGCAACACACAGATTTGTGTGTTATTATTGCTTGCATACCCACCAATGTTAAATTCAACATATGATCAATTTTTCCTGATCATTAGATGATCAATTTTTTAATTGTTCCTGTGCTAAACTTGTTTCATGTATAATTGATCAACATAGATTTGATTCTCACTTTCCATTCTTGGCTTAAAGTTAACATGTCTAAAAATTCATTGTTACAGAAATACATCAACACTGTAAGATTCATAATATACATACATCAATTTTGGGATACAATGTGAAAACCCGGAACCTGTCTGAGTTTCTCAACTCACACTTTTTGGCTGTAGTTGGGAGACCGGGCAAACCAAAAACTACACCCAAAAAGGACGAGGTATCTCACAAATTCTAGAAGAAATGATTAGTAAACAGATAATAATCATGATGAAGAATGGAGTTTGAAGTCAAGGGCAGAAAGTGACAGGAGTGCTGTAAAAATTGAGATGGAAGATGAGTGTTGAGAAAGTTGAGCAAGTGGTGAAGGTGGTATTGAGGAAATTCAAAGTCAGAGGTAGTTGAAGATGATGATCAAAGTGGTGTTGATCATGAATGAAAATTAGAGTGAGGTGTGAGATCTGGATGAAAATCAAAGTTGAAGTCAAGGGTTCATATTGGAGGGGTGAGACAAGGGATGACCAATCAAGTGTTGTTGCAATTTGGTGTGAGGCTGAGATTGGAGGTAGCTAACAAAATCTCTAGGCTGGGACAAATCTGTCTTGCTTAGAGATTTTTTGTTGCAAACTTGTATAAAGATTTGTTGAAGATTTACCGTTGTAGGAATATTTGAATTGCTAGGTTAACTACTTAGCTATTACCATGACCTAACCAAATGATTGTGGATGCTATTCATGAGGTGCTTCAGCTCAGCAGCTGCCACTGCCAGCCATGCTTCAAATTTCTGAAAAGTCTGCAGCACATTTTAAGAAGCACTTTGAAAAATGCATTTAGAATTATGTTTTTATCTGCAGTGTTGCAGGCACTGCTGTCATCATTGAAAGAGAGAGGCACGCTCAAGCACAGAATCCTATGTCTGGCATGTGCCCAAATAGCAAGGGATGTGTGGGTGTGCCTTTTGAACAAAACATGAAAACATCTTCTTGAAAACAGCAAACAAGGCTGTGATGAAGCTCAAACACAAATGGGGACATGAGAATAGCTGTTTCAAAACAATCAGAACATTTTTGTTCAAGAATCACTTTAAGGGTCCTTCAATCACTTTGAGGGCGCGTTCACTTAAGCAATTTCTGGTGAGAAATCACATTCTGCAAAATTTAAAGTGTCCATTTGGTGGTGCATGTTTCATTTTTGCATTAAAAAAATTACAGAATGTGGTTTCTGGTCAGAAATTCCTTAAGTGAACGCGCCCTAAGGGTCCTTCAACTCAGAGTAGCAATTGATAGCAAAAATATCCTGAGTGGGGCTCACCTGTAGGGCTTTTGCTGGCTTGACAATTACACATACCAAAATGACAATGCAATAGGCTTCCTCTAGCCCAAGATTAGGCAAGGAGACCTCCACTTAAGTTCAGGTTATCCAAGTCTTGTGTACGGGCACGCCACCCCCTGTTTCTATGAATATCCATGAGGAAGATTGGTTTTGAAGAGCTTAAGGTAAGACAAGTTCTGGAATCATTCCTATATCAATGGTTTTTATATTCTAATCACTTACTGTATGTATGCCATAGAACTCAAAAGCAAATTAAAAGTTTTGCCTGCAACAAGACTTGTTGACAACAAAAGGTAACCACCATAGTTTGATTGGTGGTGTGGTCACCTTTATCAACCAAGACTGGGAATTCAAAACTCAGCACCTTACCCTGTAGCTGGTGGCATGGCAAAACAAACGTATGTAAATGGCTTGCTGAGCCCATGCTTAATGTATTTACTAAGCATGGATTGGTCAATAAGATATGTCTTTCATATTCTATCTCTTATCTTTATCTATTCATCTTTTCTATCTTATTTATCACAATTATCACATGTGCCATTTATTCATTTAAAATCATTCACCACCTTTGCCAGACCACTGATTTGGGATTTAACAACAATACAATGGCCAGGGAAATGCATCAGTTTCTCAAACAACCAATATCTCCAATTAAACTTGGGATCCTTACACAATGCACATTCATTGTTTCTGCCACAGGATGGCCCCAAATGTGGGAGCTGGCCTTGCAGCTCTTGGTTTCAAATCTTGGCCTCCTAGGAAAACCAAGTCAGCCATATGTGGTCATTTTCCTGATGCCTGTCCGACTGAAAATATCATTGAAGAAGAAGAAGAAGATTCTTCCAATATCAATAAACTCAATAACATTGGACCTGTGGCTGAGGTACCTGATGTAACTCAACCACCACTGTTTGATGATTTTGACACCAAAACTGACCTGTAAGAACTTGCATAACAGGAAGAAGACAAAGGTGAGGCAGATGTAGCTGATTTTGAAGAAGACAAGCGGGACACTGCCAATTCCAAAGAGGCAGAGGATCCAATTTTAGCTCTTGAGAATGAAGTTCAACCAACTCATTTGCATGAAGAAAACAAGCTAGACAATCTCATATAAGTAAAGTAACATTTTTCATTTAGTTACACTGATATCAATCATGTTTCTCTTTAAATTCCACCTCTCTTTTCCATAGGTTGATTTCATTGTGCATGTATCCTAGGTCTTCAGTCTGGCAAAAAAGAATTTGATCAAGTCAAGAAGAGTATAGGACTTGAGGGCGAACCTCTTATTTCTGTCTATATAATTCAATGGAACATCAAATATTTAAGCCATCAGAAAGCTTGAATGGCCTGTGAGGTAAGCTAAAAACCCTTTTTAAATCATGATCATATTGAAAATTCCACACTAATAGGTCATCAATTGGCTTCTCAAAGATGACTCAGCTTGAGTGCACACTAAAACTGACGGCCTTGAAAGAATGGCAAGCCATACATTTTTTTTACCAAATAACAGTATAACCTTTGGAATGGACTCAAATACAAAATTTAAGTGCTGATCTTAAGGTGAGACATTTAATATTTGGTTTCATGATATATCTGATGGTTGCTGATGAAGTTGGATTTCTTTCTTTCAGCCATTCCTTGATGTTGCCAAAAAGATGGAAGGTGCTAAGTCCACCACTCAGGTGCATGATTATACCAGAGTACATTGAGCTTAAAAAATCCTTGCAGGTACAATCTGAAGCACTAGAGAACTCTGATGTGATGTATACCATGATTGCTGAAATGCTAGACCACTGCAAACATTATTTAACTTCCCCAAGTGGGCAGGAAAGAATGATTGGGAGTATGATTTGTCATAAAATGATCTTTCACTTCACACCTGAGCCATAACACCCACACTACATGTGTGTAGCTGGCTTGGTGAATATGTGGTTATCATGTACATACAGTTCTGTTCAGTTATCTGCTCATCAGGATAAGTTATTCATATGTAATACATGCTGTAACTTTTTTCAGATTGACAAAAGCATTCAAAAGATTGACTACATACACTGACTCAACATTTTGGTGTAGTCCCATCAACTCAACTGCATGTCACACCCTTTCTGGTACTAAGAAATAGCTTCAACAATATCCCCTGAGCAGCTACATAATTATATGTAGTGTATGTTTGGGACAATTTTTTCAAAGTCAAAAAAGTTACATGTTGTATAACATGTGATTTATTTATTCTGATGGGCAAGAAGCTGAACAGACCTGTATGTACATGATAGAAAACTATTTACTTAGCTTGCTGCACATATGTAGTGTGGCTGTTATTGCTCAGGTGTGCAGTATTGGATCCTTTTATGACAAACTGTACTATTAATCATCTTCCTCTGTCAACTTGGGGAAGTTGAATGATGTTCACAGTGGACCAAACACAACAGATCTTGGAAGAAGCTCTATCCTGTGAAGCCTTGATCATGGTGCTGGCGTTGGTACGCAAGCTTGTGCCAGCTTCCATGTTGGTGCTGAGCAACACGTTGGTGCTGGAGTGATTGCATAAAGTCATAACACATAAATTGTCTTAAAACATCTTTCACTACCCAGATTGCAAATGCAACTTGTAAATCCTTGCTTCTCACAACCCTGGGCCAGCAACACAGATGTGGTGTGCTGCACGGCAGTTGCATTGAAGTTTTTCTGACCGCACCTCACCGTAGAATTGATTTCTAGGTTGCGGCCTGACATGCAGCACAATGCAGCACAATGCAGCACAACAAGATTGCTCAAATTGGTGTCTGTTTTGGGCCGCAACAATGTTTGTTGCATTGCTACCCCCAAAAACTTACAAATCAACGCTGCTGTTGCACCTGTTGTGTTGCACAACGGTCGAGGAGCTGCGTAGCCTAGCCTTGACTTTTGTTGTTGCGGTACTTCCCGCAACACAGCATCTGCTTCTTGTTGGTGTTGTGCGTTGCAGAGCAACACATCAAAAAACAGGTGTGCTGTGGCACATTGCGTTGCTGGCACAGGTTTGCTTCTCATGTACCATTCAACTGATTAAAATCACTGTATATATGAGCCTATTGACATCATAAAGTATAAACTACACCCGCATTTTCATTGCATTGCAACATTGCACACATCAATTGCTTTTAACACTTCCTCCAGCTGGTCTTCAACACTCAAGCTGCACTTCTTTGTGGCAGTGATCTATGTAGGTTTGAAGCTTTAGTGATAATACCAACCTACCTCTATCACCTGGGTGGCCACCTCCATTCATAGATATTGCCAGCTCCAAACCACACCATTGCTAGACAAAACATATAACATGCAAATATCTGAAAAGCCATATTTCAACTGAACAAATTTGTTTGGGTGATCAATCATATCTACCAGATTACCCTTCCAAACTGTCAAGACAAACAAGTTAGACATGCTGATATACCAATGTAGAACTGTAGAGTCTGTCTATATCAAATAATTTCAATACCATAATGACCAAGCTTACATTGATTGAAACCAAATCTGGGTCAAAAATTTGCAGCATCAACCCAACAATTCTGGGAGCTTGCTTTGAGTCATAGAGACGATTGCAATCCTGGTCTAAAAGCCATGATTGATATCTTTGTACTAGGTTCCAGGCGGGATCTACATCCCTGGCAAAAGCTGGTTTGCCTGGTTTCTCGTAGAATAGATTGCTCTTATGTGACAGGCTAAGTGTTGGGTTTGACATCAAAAGGCACTTCTGAGAATCAGCTCTCAGTGCTGTACGGAACACGTCGCGTGCGTATTTCTAGTAGACGATTTAGCCCTGGTTTCTGAAAGCCTCATCACTAACGATTGCTGTGCTCAATGGATATGAAAATGTGTACACCAGAAGCTCCATGTCTCGGACCTACATCATACCGGGGTTTATATATTCTCAAGGAGATCCGTTCTCTGGAGCTTTATCAACGTGAAGTACAATTGATTTACTTGTCTTTTTGATTGCCTCAAGACTTTTTCCGCTAAGCTTTCTGAACAAATATCACTGGACAAACATCGTTAGTATGCACAGTAAAATCTCGATTTGAAACACGGTCACTGACGGTCAATGTCTCCTTAGACCAAAATGAGTGGTCTTGCCACCGGTCAGGTAATAATGAGGCTTTTACTCTTCGTCTAGGGAGCATTATAGTTTTATCTAACGGTTCAGAAGGGTTCTTGTTGACTTGTTCAAGAAACCATATTTCTTTAACCTGATGTTGTGTCAGATATTCGAGTACTCCCGCATAATTCATACCGACCTGATGAGGACCATGTGAATCATCAGAAAGAGTCAAGCGACCACCAAGCTTGGAGATCGACTGAAAAACGAAGTAAGGCCACCAATGAAATTTTGTCAGATTGTGAAGTTCTGGAGAGTAGAAAACGAAGATCTCTGTGAACGCACTTTCAAGATATCCGGGCTAGGATAAGGTGTTGACCATCCTTTTTTGAGTGCAGCGGAATTAACTTCGAAAAGTGCGCCATAGGACATACCAAATTTAATATTTCGTTCAACTTTATCCCATATGGATTTATCTTTCTTTAAATTTAGATCAGGGTAATATAGCAAACATAAGTCGAAATGTCCAATCACTTCTGGTTGAAAGCGGACCATAAGAGCATACTGAGCGTCAAAGTAATGAGAGCAAAGTTTATAAAGGCTTTCTTCTGTCGGATCCATCGAACTATCGGGAGTCAAAGATTGACAAGCTTTATGAAATGTTGCTTTATCAAAATCGATTGGGATTTGATTAACGTGATGAAGACTTCCAACTAGATAATCAATTGAATCTCCATGATTTCTTAAAACTTGATCGAGTAAGGATGTTGTTACCTCTTCATCGATCATCTCCGTTTCGATTCCGGTTAATAAATTTATTTGAGATGTGTACTTTGATTTCAAGTGATTAGCTTCAATAATAAACCGCTCGAATTGCTCAAATAGTTCGTCTACACCCATATCGCGCTAAAATAATTCCAGAAATCATAGATGAGGATAAATTGAGAGATACAATAATAAATTTTCAAATCAAGACACGAAGTCAACACAAATAAATGATGAGTTTCTCGCACTTCTTCAGGATAAAGATCCATAGACCGATTTCGTGGCATGTGTTCTGAAAGGCCATAGCTGATAAAACCTTTTTGAATTGCAGTCTCAATCACATCCTCCAGATCTCCAGTAGCGTGTTTACAAAACTGACCAGAATGAGAATGAAGACTGATAGGCATCGTTCGGTTAATTTGGTCTTCTTCAATGCTGAGTTCCAAGAATCTCAATTTTCCACTTGAAGTCGCAACACAAACCGATGAATGTATGCGGGGTAGGGATCCGAGCGGCCCATGACCCGTTAGCTAAGCTTAACACAAGGCTCAAGCCCTCTCTGCGCGGCCACGTCCGCGCGCCTCGCATAGGGGCCTGTTAGCTGCCCTAGTGCATCAATGATCAAATCCACAGGAACGCTGAAAGAAATATCAAAAGTCGAAAAAAGAAAGAGATGATACCAACACCTGACCTTTCTCATATCAGTCGAAAGGACTATGATGATGTTTATGAGCCAGCAGGTGCGCTAAAAAACTATGTGGATTTATATATTCAACATCGATCCATCAAATATTCTCTGATCTAATTCCATTTTACATTCAAGAAAATCGTTCTTAGAAGACACATTCATCTTGTTAGATGCCCTCGAGGCCGATTTGGATTTTTTGAAAGCTCTAAAACCTTTAATATGTGTTGAGATAGGGTTAGTTTCTTGCTTTACCACAGGTTGAATGCTTGTGGAGTCTTCGACTGACATTTATTTTGATCGATGATGGGCTTCGTAGATCAGGTAGCGGTTGTGTGTCTGTTTTTGCACAGAAAATTTTGTCTGGGATCCCAACATGTGAGGCGTTTTTTCTAAGCTCGCCTCCTTGAACACTGCACCATATGTATAGTAGTAAACTCCCTTGCGAATATTATTGTACCAATCGAGACTTTTTTTTGTTGAAGTGCATATCTGCACAGATATCAACTCAAAAGCGCTTACAGTGACCGATTCCACCTTTCAAAAGAACTCGCTCTCAACACCCAATCTTGTCCGAACCTCTCTCCTCAACTCTCTTCGACTCCAATCGTCCGTCGATCTTTTACTCTTCAATCCTCCCTACGTGGAAACCTCAACGGAGGAATTTGAGCAAGCCACACAAGGTCACATCGAAGCTAGCTGGGCCGGTGGAGCAAATGGAATGGAGCTCACCAATCAACTCTTGGATTCACTACCTTCAATCCTTTCTCCTAATCGAGGAGTACTTTATCTAGTGGCAATTAAACAAAATAAGCCAGAGGAAATTGTTTTGCGGATGAGAAACTGTGGCTTTGATGCTCGGGTCAGTCAACTTTCCTTACTATCCATGGCCCCTCATTATTTCCTTGATTTCAAAGAGCTTTTCGGGCTGGAGAAGTCTATCTACTTCACAGATTGACATAGCATCACATTGTGCCTGCAGATTATCCTTCAACGTCGAGCAGGGCGCGAGCATTTGCATGTCTTACGGATTTCGCTGTCATCCAAAGAGACTGAAATATAGATAAAATTTTCTGGATCCATCATGTTTAATCGTCTTTGTCCAATCCTGATACTCGATATGATCACAGTTCCAACATACCCTTACCGGATTCGAGTACCACGTTTAGTCCAAGGATGAACAAAGCTTAGTTATGATGCTATCTGCTCCTCATTGATCCGCTTTGTAAATGTTTAATTGCCTTTTCAATCATCATGTCTCAAGAGGCCTAATCATTATAAAACTTGATGGACCTATTCCAAATGGGACACTCTCAGTGTGGCAATTCCAAGGTCATAGGTGGATCAAGTGGACAGTACAGTCCAACATCAAGCTCACGGATTGTCCAAACTGGAGAGCTTGGTGGGACGGCCTCCCAGCAGAGTCACTTGCATCTTGCAAGGTTAACATTTGATGGGGAGCATGAAGTGATCACTTAGAAGCATGGCACATATAGATGCAATTTACTTAGATGCGCATTATTGATATATTTATTTTCTTACATCATGTCACGACTGTTGAGTTCTCGAGATTCATATCCAGAATAACCACTTTTGTCTATTGTTATTATTTCTCTCTATTGAACTCAAACTTTTGTTTTGCTATAATATCCTTTCTTAGATTGTGCATTCAATCATCCCAAGTCTATGTTAATTCAACTTTGTCTGATTGTGTTTTTTATGTACCAGGTGATAGTTACTGTTTTGTTGTTCATGTTCTCTTGTGTAATCAAACTCAAACTTTGTTTTGCTACAATTGCCCTTTTCAGATTGTGCTTTCAATCATGCCAAGTCTACCTTCACTTTGGGTACCTCATTATATTGGCTGTACATAATCAGAGTTTGTTTGGTGGCCCAAAAATGCAGAGCTGTGCTTTTTGATTGGATTGGTTTGGGTAAAAAAGAACAAGGCTTATTTTCACTTCCAAGATCACATGCATTGAAATTTTCAGATGATTTTTGTTTGGCTCCCTTTGTTTATCTGTCTGATTTTTCAAAGTTGAATGATAACTGAAGATGTCAGATTGTGATGCTTTGAGCCCGTGAAGACCATGTGCTGAGGCTTTGGATTGGTCTAACAAAGGCAATGTATGTATATACTACAAGCTCCTCAGTAATCATATTTTCCCAATTATCAAGCCAGTTTTGGTCATCATAAGTCAAAATTTTGCCACCTTATTGGTGTAGCAAATAAGTTGATCACATGTGTGTGAATCCAAGTTTCTTGCTCAAGATTTTCTAGTCCCTTGTTGAGTAAGTGTAAGTCATGCTCTTGAAATTGCAAGTGTGATGGCAATTGAGTGGGTTTAAGATTACCTGGTGGAAGAAAGATTATGTTTCCAATGTAAGTAGAATGAATGGATCTTCTGCGTGTAATTGCAGGGTCTCATTGCTGTCAGAAATTGTTGAAGTAGTACAGCAGTTTTGAGAATAAATTTTGCCTGTTTGTTTCTATTGTTTGTTTTTTTAAGGTTGCACTAAACATTATTGACCTAGATTCTACATAGAGCATTGTAATCCACCTTTCAAGTCTCTTCCAACCTTTCCGCTGGTTGCAACCATACCAAAGGTTGTGCATTACAGGTACAAAGAAAGCAAAGATAAGCAAGATTGTGATCTTTCACAATCCTTACACCCTTCAATGAGTCAACTACAGCTCCTATGTAGAATCAATGTGAGTAAGTTTTATTGTAACCTTGAAAAAATAAAAAATAAAAACAAGCAGACAACATTTATTCTCAAAACTGCTGTAGGAGAATGGATGTGATTTTGGTCCAAGGAAAGAAAATTACTGTCCAGTGTGCTTCATAAGTCATTGTGCCCATTGAGAGGGCCTTGGAGTGTGTCCTTTTCCTTTAGATTTTCTTTCATTTCTGCAAAGAACAAGAACAACACAACACTCAGAAGAAACCCAATCTGAGTGGGTACTGAGTGTATTGAACTGTTTAAAACAAGTGAGAAGGTGCCGAATGAGATACCTCAGTGCATAGATTGTCCAGTTTAGAACAATCTAACTCTGTCCTTTAGAAATTGAAGAGGGCTCATTGTCCAAAAGCTTTGGAGTAATATACAAACAAACAATTGATTAGAATACATGGTCTAATCAAAACTGAGCAAATGGACAGTTTCTGTTCATAGGAGAGATGTTCTTTGTTTTGTGTCTCAGCTCAAGTAGAATTTTGAAGATTGAAATTGAGAATAACAAGAATGACCATATGTGTACTACTACTGGCGTGACTTCAAAGTAAGGTTTGGACACGGCACCAGGACCACCCAAGTGGGCCCGGGCCGGCCTTGATCTTGGGCTTTTTTGGCCTCAGAGCGGTGTGCTCTTGGGCCAGCCAGAAGGGCTGAAATGGAGGGTTTTGAGAGATTGGTGGTGATGAATGATAATCTGAGAGGCTCAGAAAGGTGCAAAAGCGACTCAAAAAGCCAAGCCAAGGCCTTTCAATGGCTACAATGGCCAATATGATGTACCTAAAATCACCAATTTCCTTGCTGCTGTGCCTCACAGGATTTTTTTTTGTAATTTGGGCCAGGCCGGGTCCGCCACCAGAAAAAATGGGGCCCGAGTTGGCCTGTATTCCAAAGGCTGGGCCTGGCCCGGTCCAAGCCTTACTTCAAATGATTCCATTAAGGTACATAAGGTTTTCCTCAATGAATTGTTCTATGACTCAGAGACTCTTAACTGACAGGGGCTGAAAGATTCTTGTGATTGAAACAGTTGACATTACCAGAAAAGACACTTCCACCGGCTCTTCTGAATAGGATGAATGTGAGATCTGTAAAGTTGAATCAAGTTATCACTTTGGCTGATAAAGTTTCTGTTCTCAAGGTGCTTTCTTGGTTGTGACAAGGAGTTTTGTGAAATCCTCATGAGGATCATCAAGACTATTGAGCTTGAAATGAAAAGACATTTTCATCTTGGGGACTGTCATCATGTGAAATGAAGCTGTGTTATGTGGTCAATTCTCTGGTAAACCTTTCTTCATAAGCACCGCCAACATATTTACCTCGGATCAAAAAATGTAAGGTATTCCCGGATTTCAAACCTTGGACAGATGCTGTCCGAGGCTATGATCCGAGGTAATTCTCAGCGCATAAGAACACCTCGGACAAAAACCTTGGACAAGGTCTGTCCAAGGATTTGCCTCCAATGATGCCTCAGATTTCTCAACCCGAGGCATCTATGTTTGCAGTGAAGAAATCAATTCTAGGAAATCAATTCTAGATTTCTTAGACAAAACCTCATAGTTGGACGCAGAAAAAAATCAAGTACTACACCATAGAGTCTTGACACATATGAAAAGCTCTTGGAAGCTCTCCAACTCCAACAGTTTCACACTCCTATCAGAACCTCAATGGCAAAAGACTATATTGCTTGCTCTGGTTTGTTGGCTGCACCCAAAAGGATCACCTCGGCTGCAGCTGACACTTGTGCTGCAAGTTGAGCTCATCTGGCTTCATGAGGGGTTATCACTTGGCACAGAGTTTATGAAGTTGATGGAGGCATGTAAGATGCCCGAGTACGGTGGCTACCTGAAAGCGCACTATATCTCAATTCAAGGATCATCTGATGCTTGATGCTCATTTTTCATACTTTTTTCAGTTTTCTTATCTGATCATTCTTTCATCAATTTACGTGTATTCCCCTTGATAGATATGTTCTATTTCTAGTCATTCTTTTATTACCTTTTTTTAAGCTTGAGTATTTTTTGGTCGTGACTGCATTGCAAACCACGCTTCGGCAGCGCAGCGGAGCTTACAACAGTCACGCTCCCACTTCCAAGATTTTCAAGCAGCGGTGAAAAGCTGCGCTTCCAATCACAACGCAGCGGTTACCGGTTCGCTGCTCATGTTTAGGATTCCGACGAGCCGGAAATCGCTGCGCCTCCGCTTCCCTCCCTGAAGCGCACTGGAGCGCAGCTGGTCCGGCGTTCAACTTGATCGATCATGCAGGTGGATAAAATTTGTCGGATTGTAAATCGTTCAACTGCTAAGCTCATGGTGACTTCAGATGCAGACTTTGGGTGGGGTATTTCATCTCGTGTTGTCTACTGATGACTCAAGTCATGCTTCATACCAATTATAAACCGTGTTAGAAAAATGTTGGGATGTGTAGCGACGGAGGATACACGCAAACTTGTTTACAATCAATCGCGGAATCATCTGGATCATGTCTCGTACTGAAATGCCTGACTCATCAGAAATAGACCGAGGCCTTACTGTTTTGAGCGTGCATTTAATCTTTTGCGCAGGGTCCAAGACTAATTCAATACCATCCAATGTAAGAGAACGCTTGAGAGTACACACTTCCGCACCCTTTGAACCTTGTGCTGAATACTTCCTGGTCCCGAATATCGTATAACGTGGGTGACAAGTAAAATGATCGGTACAAGGGTCTGACTCACCTACGGAGGCAGAAACATGGAAGTGAGGCATTCATGAATTGATGAACTACTTGAGTTTCAAAAGAATGAAACCTTTCAATACTGAGCTCACATCACCTCAAAAGAATTTTCAAATTTCCCACTTCACATTTGCAGCATCAAATCTGGATTATTTGACTCCATCAATCAATGAGCTGGTCAACTTTTTTCAAGCAATTATATTTTGGTGTATTTCTTTTGCACCACGTCTCAACAACTTTCCAACACCCACCACTCCAAGGACTGAAGAGTGGATCGACATTGAGCATGATCATGTGCAACCAGGCATCTTTATCACATTGCGGCATCGATAGGAGTTCCGAATCACATCTTTTGGAGGTAAAGTCTGGAATGAAAAGAGGTCGCAGCACGAGGAAACGAAAATATCAGTTGATTCCAGCTCCAAGTGAAACCCATAAAACAAAAAGGATTGACAATGATCAATCAACACGTCGCGCTGAAAAAACTTTTGAGATGACCCAAGAAGAGTCAAACTTGGATTTTTTGACGTGCGTGATCATCTTGTTTTCACGAATCTTGGGGCTCTGTAGTCCGGTTTAACTGATTGATGTTTGATTAGAATTCATCTCCAACCCCACCTATGGCCTTGGAAAGGCCGAGAGATGAACAGACAAACTTTGGAAGATAGCGAAACCACAGCCACTGCCATGGAAGAAAACAAAGGGGGGCAGATAGAAGAAACAGGTATGAAGTCAGAAGTATCTAACTCAAGAGGTTATGAAGAATTTGTGGTGGATGTCTGACAGTGAGTATGGTTTGTAGAAGTGATGCCTAAGGGGGACTTGACCCGAGATGAGAAAGTGAAAATCTGGCTGGACATCCCTAGGTGTGATGGCTATCTTGAGGCAAGGCAGTCTGTGATGGTGCAGCTGATGATTTTTTTCCATTCCAAGACTTCGAGAAGGTTCAAAGAAGAAAGACAAGGAGAACTTAGCAGAAAATTCAAATGAGCCAGGTCATATCTTGACTGAAGGAAAACATTTCAGTGACCAAAAAGGTGAGTAATTTGATCCATAGTCGGCTATTGAATTTAAGTAGAGGTGAACTGGCTAATCATAAATTTGTTGATGTTCTTAAGAAGTCCTTTCAGTGGAAGGGACCAGCTTCCAGTACCCTTCAACGGGTAAGACAGATACATTCAGTGATGAGAATACAAGGTAAGGTGTGATTTATACATATTTGCAACACCAATGATCTATTTAATGACAAAAAAATCTACTCCCTCCAGAATGGCAGAGGAGAAAGCTACTAGTACTGTAACAGATCCTTTCACACACCTGAAAAAATATCCAGGAATAAAAGTGGTCTTCAAAACCAAGAAAACCAAGGAGGAATTAATGAAAGATGAACTACTCAATGTTCTAGCGGATCTGAAAGCTCAAGGGGAATCTTCAGGACATATGAATATGAAGGTACCTACAGCTCAACTGAAGAGGGTTGTAGAACTTGAAAATTTGATGGAGCAGGCAGGATGGAATGAGGTATGGTCAAAATTCCATGACTATTTTGAGGAGATTACATGGAGATACTGGAAAAGATCTATCAAAGCTCAATTGCAGCAAACCAAATTAATTGAGGGTTGGAAGCTTATCAAAAACAGCGCAAGTGATGAGCTAAGAACTTGTATGAAGCTCTTACAGGCTGAAGAATATTGGCCAGTCTTCTCTGGAATCAAATACAAAACCTATACAAACGCTCTGAACTTGATCAGAGAAATGCAGGTAAAAAACAATGGAAATGATTACAAAGAACTATGCAGATTGATTCCACCAAAGTTACTTCAACACAGGCTATCTAGGATGGAATATATGTCTCAGAGGCCAAAGATAATTTCTAATTGGTATTCTTATGAAGAGATTAAATTAAAACAAGAACAAGGATATGACACATTGTTGATTATGATGATTGAGGAGGCTTTGGACATAGCTACTCAATTAGAGTCAGAAAATTGGTCATCCAAAATGAAAGACAAAAAGATATGGGAAGTTTTTGCAAAACTTTTCAGGGTAATGGGTGGGGAGATCCATGGATGTGATGAGGTTGATGACACCAGCATAACAGGTCACAAAAACTATAAGTCCACTTACTGGCCACCATCAATTGAATGTGAGCTTTTCACATGTGGTTCAACTCCTCAATCTCATAGATTCAGAAAAGCATTCCACATTGCATTGAGAAACCTTGGAGAAATCAAACATATCTATAAAGACTCAATGAATGATGCCAGTTTCTTTAGACTGATTAGGATGGCAGGAGATTGGTCTCTTGCAGACATTCTTTTAGGTGTACACAATGGTGTGGATTTGAAAACATTTAAAGCCTATAGATATCTGGCTAAGTCAAATCACCATCCATATATCCAAGCTTCGAAGCTTGACAAAGAGAAACTGGCAGTCAAACAAGTGTACAACTTCCAAAGATTTCTTCATGCCAGGATGGAACTTAAAAAGGAGGGCAAAATTTCATTTTATAGGCCTTTAGAGTCACTCAGGGTGCTATGAGCTACAATAACTGACTCAGCATTGGGAGAGCGAGGAGGGTCATAAGTTCACAACAGTTTCACTGCCACTTATTCAGTATGTATCACATCAGATTTCAGGGGTCTGATTTCTAGTTTGTCTGTTTGCCCTCTCCTCCCCTGTATGGCATACAGAAATTGTGTTTTCTTCATGTTCAAAAAGTTGTCACTAATAAGAATTAGGCCCCGTTTGGGAGCGGTGATAAAGTGTACAGTACTGTAAAAGTGTACTACATTTTTGGGTCCGATAATGCAGTAAAGACAAAAAACCACTTGCAAAGTGTGGTACAATTATAATTCCTGTTTTTTGGCCATACTTGTTTGGCAGAATGACACCAACTTCATAACATCTCCATACTGCCGTATCCAAAATGTCCGACATATCAATCGATTCTTACTCAACTTTCAAAACCGATGATATTTTTGAATCTGATGAAGACCCAGAGCTAGACAACACAATCCAATCAGCCTACGAACAGCTTCTTGCAACGATGACTCCAAAGATTCCATGCCGCACTTCTTGTCTTGGTGGTGCCGCTTACTGTGAAGAGGTTCTCAATGGTAGTCCAGTACGATTCGCCGAAGTTTGCCGAATGGACAAAACAAGAAGTGATGATTCGGATGAGGACAATGGTGTGATCAACAAGAGTGTACACAAGATGAAAAGGAAACAAGGATTGTATTCCATAGAGGAATAGTCATGAATCATGTGGAAAGCTTACCTAGAGCGTAGACAAGATGAAATGGACAGGATGAGGGAAATAAACCCTTCCCCAGTGTAGCTCTGCTTATATACAAAAGATAATAACAAACGGTAGGGCAACAACAAACACATCCAAATACGGATCTTATGATCTTATAATGGGGTGTTGATCTGATGGGATCTTACGCTCCATTGTTTATCTAATAGGATCTTATGATCCGTTGTTTATCTAGCAGGATCTTATCATCAACATTAGTTGAGAAGCACACAGTGTGGTGACTCCAACAGACAAGATGGGGGGTGGAAGAGCCGGTAAGAGAGGGCAAGCTAGGGCAATCAGAGGAAGTCCTAGGAAGGAGGGATGTGAGGGGTAAAAGCAAATTTGGCTAAGTCCCCTTTCACCGTGCGGATTTATTTTTCATAAAGAGCTTTTTGTCGATTACTGGATTACCACAGTATGGTGAGATTATTGTCCAAATCCTGTGGTACATTACCGTGGCAAATTAAGGTACCAAACATAGTACAACTGTACCACTGTGGTATTGATGCGATTACGCAAATACCGTGGTAAAATAACCGCTCCCAAACGGGGCCTTAGGAGTTGCTACATGTATTGTAACACCCAATTGGGCCAAGCAATGTTCTTAGGTATACATGTGCTCTCATTGAAAAATCTATTCCTCTGAGAAGAATACCAAATTTCTTCTAAGACCACCAAGAGAGCCACACTTCTTGGATCAAGACATTCCAAGTGGAAATTTCATGGTGATATAGATTCTTAGCACATTTCCAACAACACCCTCTAAATGTAAAAATTCTGACATACACATAAGATATATTTCACATTTAGATAGATCAAATTTCAGAATATTCTTGCCAATCTGTTCTCTACATTATTCCTTGATGTCAAAGAGCTAAGAAGAATGCACCTTTCACACACAATTTGGAATTACATATATAGATACAGCTAATACAGGGATGATGCACAGAGAAAAAATGTACCAAAATATGGGGGCTATCTGATGATAACCACTGTGAATTGGAGCACTGGCCAAGGAGAAACATCCAAAAAATTACAATCCCAAGTTCCTACATACTTGGGCCAGGGCTCTACATCGGTTTTCTCTCAAAACCATGTGCCCTGACATGATAAAAATATATGTACTAGAAAGCTATGGCCTTGGTTGATCTTCTCTCAATTGCATAATTGCTGCATGGGAAAAACACAATCTAAACAAGTCAAAAGAGGGCACACGATTTTACCATGGGATGACGGCTATCTAGTTGAAGCAAGGGATTAATTGTCTTTTCATTCCAAGTTTCTCTTCTTTTTCTTCTCTTGGGTGATCTGTTGAAGTTGTCAAAAGTGGCAAATTGATCATGCCTGTGTGGCAAGAACCCAAAGCCCAAGGAAAACAAATTTTGGGTAAGGCAAAGGGGGGTCTGTTTGCGCTCATTGGGCCCCTATGCATTTCCTAGAAGTCTGAGTGACTGGAAAAAAGACAAGTGAAGGAGAGTCCATTGGAAAAGGTCCAACAGTGAGGTCATCCTTTCAATCAACTCTTTTGGAAGGAATCAGAATTCATAGCAAGAGAGGATACACGGAGCTTAAGCCCACTGCTACCTGAAAGCTCCTGGACCTGAACTAAGTCATAGATTCCAAGTGTGTACCCTAGCTTATCCACCAGGACCTCAAGTTTGAATTTTGCATAATCTCAAGAACATGCCCAGTACCATTTAGCATAAATGAACCCTCTAAACTGATTAGACATATATATTTTTTTACCAACAGGTTGACGTTTCAAATTCAATTTCATAGTAAGATTCACAAAAAAAACTTATCATCTAATTTTTTTCTTGCAACATATCACACATCCACAACTAATTGAAGATAAATGAAGAGGCTTTTTGTCTTCGAAAATGGGCCATTTTTATAAGAAACGCGTGAGTTGCTAACACATCTAGTACATGAGAACAGATCAAAAAAGAATCTTAGCCCAATCAGAGGTCATTGTGAATTCAAATCCCTCTACAGAAGAGCACTGATTTGATATAGCAAAGTGAGATTGAAGGTTGACTGGGTTTGATTTTACTTGGTTATAAGTATTTGAGAGAAGATGAAGATTTTCATAACAGCATGCATGCATTCGTAAGGAGTAGATGATGTGAAAGGAAGAGTGAACGAAAATTGATGAAGTATTGTTAATCGATCATCGGAGTTCTAAAATCGAAAAAAGGATAAGATGTCAATAATAATCCAGTGAACGTTTGAAAGGAAACCAAAAAGAAAGATCACATACTTTTGCTTTCGAAAAAACCACGCAAATGTCTTAATTGCCAAACACACATATAAAACAAAACTACTAATTGTAATAAACTCCAATAAACAGCTCTACGATTGACAGTTTCAGAAAGATCACGAAATTCGATTTCTCTTTCACGTTGAAATTGTTGTTCACGTCTAATATCATGTAATCTTGAATTTAAATCTTTAACTCTAGATGCTAAATCCTTAACATGTTCTTTTTCAAATTCGGGTTGGATCTTGGCTTCTCCTATAGCTATATCTAAATGCATTTTAACTTGTGGTGTTGAAAACCATCCTCCTGTGTAATTTGTTCGTAAACATATCGAATGATCTCCTGCTTCATGTGATGTAAATGTAAATTTTCCTTGTGGTAGACCACGTGTATTGACGATTCGTTCTTGACTGTGAACTTCCTACAATTTGAAACATCAAATTTTCGTCTATTAAGACCCGGTTTCAATAATTTCACCAAGTAGTGGAGGAAACTCACAGTCACTGTGATCTGAACACCTAATTTGTCATTGACATGATAAACTTTGGATTCAGGTGACCATTCTTCACCCTTGTAGTGACCTAACCAAACGAGATATATATCAATCAGTTTGAAATTTTATGTTCAGTTCAAGTTCAAAAAAAGTTTGAAAACGCACCTACGACGATAGTGTCTTTTGGTAATCCTTCCAGAAAACATCTTTCTGAACCAGCATCAAGATAAAAGTAAAGGGATGAGATAGGTAGACTGAAGGCCAGAAAAAGTGGGAGTACGACGTTTCTCGATCTCATCTTGATAACCAAGGTTTGAAGGTGGTTGATTGTTGAGAACTTGAGATAGTGTTGGAAATCTTAATTTGAAGGTTGGTCGACTCGTCGCAGTGTTTGGTTGGTCGAAGTTGAACATGTGCGTGGAAGACACGTGACTTTCACAGATCGAGACTTGACTAGTGACATCCACCTGATGATCAGGCCCCTATAAGATGTCACATCTATGTATTTCTAGCATAGCCTAGATAGTTCTAAGCCATAACTATGTGATTTGATAGACTTCTTCTTGATTTCGTTTCCCCAGATTCCGAATTCACCTCGCAGAATTTGCATTTGCTCATCCATCACCACCAAACTATCTATCAATCAACTTCATCAATCAGACCGAATTCATTTCGAACATCAAACTTATCAAGATGCCTGTGAGATTGATCTTATTCCTTCGATTCATCAGCATCAAGCTTACCTCTATGTTGCCTTCTTTCTTTTCAGCGTCGTTCTTCAAGCAGCAGTGGCGGAAATCGCTCATCGGCTAGATCCGCTTCTACCTCAGCTCGTCAACCTGCTCAAGCTCCTCCACCAGTACCTCATAATGCACAATCGTCCGTCCCAGCCGTTCAAGCTCCTACTTCCAGTGGACCTGGTCTCTTTGGTCAAGTTGAGTTTTGATTATTCGTTTTGCTTTTGTCGGCGTTCCAGTCTCTTACTTTGTTTCCTCTTTTCCGATGCTTTGTAGATGGCTTCAACCGCTGCTGGTGTAGCTGTTGGTCACACCGTTGGTCACGGTTTGTCAAACATGCTCTTTGGTGGTAGTAGCTCAAAAGAAGAGACCCCAGCCCCAGCTCCTGTTCAACAACAAACGTTTGAGGAACGAAGAATGGGTGGTCAATGTGACATTCCTGCCAAGGGTAAGTCATTGTCGTCTTGTTCATGTGTATCAAGTCATATCTCCTAATACGAAATGTTTGATTCGGGTTTAGATTTCACGAGGTGCTTAGATGCTACATCCGGTGATATCAGCTCTTGCAATTATTACCTCGAGCAACTCAAGGCTTGTCAGAACATGTATCAATCTCACACTCAACAATCCTCTTTCTGATCTCAGTACCCTGTTCTCTCAAGTCCTATGTTTGGCTATTGTTTCATACAAGAATGAGAGTCTCTTAGTCAATAGAAGTTTCAAGTGCTCAATGAACCTGCTGGCTGACTTGGAATTAAATTGGGAAATGATCAGAAGCTGAACTTTTTATGCTTGTTTACCTTGAAATTCAATATATCTGTGTTCATCCCCACTCAAATTGATGAACGACTCAAACTCGACCTTTCTTGTGTCTTGCTTGAAAAATGAAACGTCAAAACCTGTGTTGGCTTTAATCCTTTGTCTCATGAATTTTCACCAATGAATAAAGATTCTATGATCTTTAAAATGATGTTTGTCAGCTCAACTTCAGAGTACCACATTTACCTTGAACTCATTCTTAGTCATGGTTTGATTCTCAGGGAGTATTTATCTTGTTGGCTTTGATTATGTTATGTAACACCACTAACTTAACTGAGTCCCCCTCTAGTCAGGCACTTCTTCCTCCCAAGCTTGGGAGCCTGAGACTATGGGGACATGTGTGGTATCTGGCATCCTTGGTGGGCCAGCAGGAGGTTGCAAATTGGAGTTTGGCTTGCAGGTTCATCACAACCTCAAGTTCTCTCGCCTTTCCCTCAATCAATTGATGTGCTCTTTTTCACTTGAGATACCTGAACAACATTCTAACAAATTTGCCTACAAAGGAGGGTCCAAGTTTGAAAATGCACTAAAACATAACTGTACCTTACATCAAAAATGATGCATGTATGTACATATGTAATTCTTCAAATTTGAAAAAAACTTTGATGAAACCCCATCTGATTCTGAGGAGCATATACCTTTCAAAGACAACAATTAAAATCCATGAATCTTATAAGGCATGATGGTCAAAACACTCAAAGCCTTAAAGACATTTTTTTGGTCAATTTTGTTGCTTATGACAAATAGAGTTGTGATCTCAGTGTTGTGATGTCTGATCTTTTTCTTACAAAAACCCTTTTGGTTATTTGTTTTGTTTTCTCTTTTTAGTTATTTGATTTTGTTGTCTTGGATACGTTTCTATTTGTGCGCTCTCATAACTCTTAGCAGATTTTGTTCTCTTTATAAACACCTACGAGTCTCACAAGAGTTTGATCCTCATGCTTTCAAACTCTTCTTTGTATCACATCCAAGCAATCCTCATACTTACGATGTATTGCTCTACTGTGATTGACTCATAGGTTAGTGTGTAGTGTTTTTCTCTCATCTTCATTTCTCTCATACTTTACATGTTGTAGTTTCATTTTTATGTTTAGTATTTCGAAATAAATATGCTTTCAAACTCTTCTTTGTATCACATCCAAGCAATCCTCATACTTACAACATATTGCTCTACTGTGATTGACTCATAAATTTGAACCCACTATATTCTTGAAATGAAAATTGCAAAACTCCTTGATCAACTCAACCCTATTTTCTCTTATAAGAAGACTATTTTTTGATCAATGAACTTTGGTCAAATATCAAACTTGCTTATCTCAATATGCTGGGAATTTTGGTCTCATCAGAAACAATTTAGCTATAGAAGATCAACTAGAGAAGACATGGCAAGGTTGTAGAAGATTGAGTTTATTTGAGTCCCTGCTAGCCCAACAGAAGTACACATTAACATACAATTCAATCTTCAGGGTAAATAACAAGCTATGTAGCAATGTCAAAAATGCCCTATAAGATTTTGGACTTGTTTTAAGTGAGGTAAATAACAGCATTTAACACCAGAAACAAAACGAGACATCAACCTTGGGCTCAGGGTCCAGACTGTCTGTATATTTCTCCAACCACACAGTTTATGTCTGGGAAAGACTTAATGATCATGAACCATGAAGATGACATACTTATCTGAATCATTTGCTTATAGAATTCCTACCTGTTTGGTTCTTCTTCATTCACCTTTTTTTTCAAAGGTAGCAATCAATGGCACATTCAGCCCACTCATCCAATTTCTATAAATGACCAGTCTTAATGATTCTTCATCTCAAGACTTCTCACTGGAATCATATCAGTACTTACCTCATAGGGAATTTATACATGAGTGACCAACTTCTTCTTCTTCCAATCTTAGTCTCAAGAAAATGGTCATTCAACTTTGTCCAACTTGAATTCAGAACCTTGAAAATCCCTTAGAAAATTCTCTCTTGTGATCAAACTCAACTTCTTTAGATGATGGCCTGTAAAGAGATATTAGCAATGTAGTCAGTAAGGTCTCCAAACCTCATTTGAAAAAAACAAACATAGCCTTTTCTGATGAATATGATATGAATACTCAATATGGAGAGAAGAACTGAGAAGATCTCATTGCTCAACAGGGCTTATAAAACAATACCGTTTGGATCATATTGATTTCTATAGATCCTCAAAATCAACACTTTGAAGAATTCAATGGTCAGAAATCTCTTTCTATTAATACCTACCCTACTGTATCTTTCTGTTTCCTACTCTGAAACTGTTTTAAATAATACATTGATTATTCTTTTTTGAGTTGTGTAACTTATAACAAGAAATCAATAAATTGATAAAATACATACTGCATCTGCATGAAAGCTTGATTTTTTTTGAGAAGCACAAAATTGGCCCCAAAATCAAATTTACCCAAAGCTGGGGAGATGGATGGGGACTGATCCAAACCCCATCCAGCGCTTCAATGATTTTCAGCTCAAAACCATTGGTTCATGATCATCCACCAACCTCGATTGATCTCCAATAATCTCACTCAAATTGTCTGGATTCATTTTTATTAAATGCATCATGCCCTTTGTCAAGCTTTGGCCGTTACCAAATGCCTTCAAGGCTTTTCAACTGACAAAATCCAAGATATCCTTGACAAGAACATTTTCAAACCCACTTTCCACCAATGGATGAAACTTTATCAACAAACTCAATCAGTCATTAGGAATACGCTAGAGTACAAGTCACGAGGTGCTCCTCTTATTTTAAATGATGAAGATCGTGACTTCATAAGAGAACTTGTAGTTCAGCAACCATCCCTTTTCTTGGACGAGGACCGGTAAGCAATCTATTATGAAACCAGTGTCTTGGCATCTTGCAAGGAACTTCAACTTGAACTCAACACACACCTCCACCTTACTCTCAAAAAGGCCAAAACTTCAAATGTTTGCAAAGATTTCTACAAGACAGCAAAAGTTATTGATGACATGAAGAATGTACCTGCTGAATACCTTGTATTTACTGGTGAGTGAATGGTTCTTTTTAACTTGTCTTTCTATCTTTTCATTTTGATTTTATCTGACTCCTTTCCATTCCATTCTTCTCTGATCCTGTCAGATGAGAGTGCTATATGTGAGCGGGATTTTACGAGATTCGACAGACAGTCACCAAAGGGTCAATGTGTCACACACTGGGTCAAGTGTTCAAACTCAAAATGTTACTCATTGCTTCCTGAAATTGAACTACATGGGTTAATCACCATGTCTGTCCGTGAAGGCAGCATCAACCGTGGCCGATTTGAAAGCTTTTTGGAATTTCAGCTGGTCATTTTTGTTTCTTATCATTGTTTCAGTCTATCATTTACTAATCCACAAATAAACAATCCAGCTTCCTTTGATGAACCCTTATCCAGCTCAAAATTCAATCTTGGTCATGGACAACTGCCCAATATATAAGGGGGAATGATTGTCTTCATCAGTATGGTTGATAGCCTGTGGTATTCCACAGAGAGTCTTGTGAAGAGCAGAATTCTAAATACACAAAGAAAATTGTTTGAAACAACATGAAACAAATTAGTACATCATATCAACAATGAGAATGATAAAAGATTTACCTTTTGAGCAACATCCATTGGATCTGTAGGCTTGGGCATGAATAGAGAGACACCAGGTTTCTTTCTGGGGTTCTTGAGGGCTGCCTTGAACCAAGTTTTGAATGTTTCATCCTTCTTGAGCATAGTCTTGACATTCTTGAGAAAATTGTGGATCTATGGAACATAACAAAACCATTGTATTCCAAGAGCCTGAGCATGACGGTTTTTGGTGATCATTTTCCCAAGGTCTTTCATATCAAAGCTACAAGCTTTGGCCACTTGAAATCAAGAGGCAGCCAGATCCATATCAGGTGGGATATTGATTGCAATACCACCTTTATTTGATTGGTGTGGTTTCCATCTTGGATTCTTCCCACCATGGTTGAAGTGCAGGAGATAGGTGAGATGGCATATGAAAGCCTGCGTACAGTTGGTTGCCGCAGTTGGTGGTCCTATAAACTGAAAAAGGGAAGATGGAATCCACTACACTTGCGGGATAAAAAGTAGAATCCGGGCACGTGCTTGGCTTTGTGCCCAGAATTATTTTGGCAGTAAATTTTGATTTTCTGGGCAAAAGTCTGGGCCCAGAATTTGAATTTACTGCCAAAGAAAATCTGGGCACAAAGCTGGGCACGTGCCCGGCTTCTACTTTGTATCCCGTAACTGTCAGTAAAGATGGACATCAATTGAAAGAAGTGAGAATAATCAAATAACATAGAGGATAGTGAAAGAAAATAAATAAACTCACCTTGGTTTCTAAAACAGGGGGGTGGCACTGCTTGCAGTTGATTCACGTGCGGAGTTGGTGTCTGGTGGCATTGCAGAAGTTGAGTGAAGAAGTGAAGATTATTGGAGATCAATCAAGGTTGGTGAATGATCATGAACCAATGGTTTTGAGCTGAAAACCATTGGAGCGCTGGATGGGGTTTGGATCAGTCCCCATCCAGCTGACCCTGCTTTGGGTAAATTTGATGTTGGGGCCAATTTGGTGCTTCTCAAACAAAAAAAATCTACAAGCTTTCATGCAGATGCAGTATTTATTATCAAAATTCAATCTTCTCTTTACCTCTCTCTCAAAGACTTGCTCTATTTTTCCAAATTCATCTTACTTTTATTTACTTGAACAAATCAATTTTTACTTACTTAACATACCCACATTCTTTATATTTATTTTTGAAACCCCTCCAAGAAACACAGTTTCCAAAAAAAAGTATGTAAACTTTTTATAAATTTATATGTATTATGAAACAACCAATTCTTTAAGTCTGAATCCATGACCAAGATAAGTTTTTGTTTTCTCTGCAAAAAAGAAATTGAATTCTTTGAATTTAAAAAACCAAAAAACCACCAAAAAAAGTTTTTCATGTAACAAACTTTGTATGTAAAACCATACTTAATTAGATCTGGTCATATACAAGTACAAATTTTCAAGTCAGAACATTTTTGTGAAACTTTTCAAAAAATAGACAAGTTTTTCAAATTTCAGTGTATTTTTTGCAAATATACGGTCAATAGCCTTTGAGACACCTAAAAAGGTGTCCCCTCCCAATTTTTCTAAATTTACAGTATATCTTGCAACATCAGACAACTTGTTGGACTGTAAACTACCATAAATTTCTTGACTTGAAATCCCCTAATCTCCAAATGTTTTAAAGAATGATCAACTATAGTACAAGTATTAGTATTAAGAGATCAAAACCGTAATTGAGGGAGATTGGTTTCCTTTTACTTAATTATCTAGATTTCTATCTAATTGTTTCTAGTTGTCCTGATTTTTTGATTTCAAGGCAAGAGTAAGGTTTCAAGAAACAGGCTTTAAATAAATCTTTTCTTCTTTGGGATCCTGTGTTAAAGGACTACACCTCAATAAAGTCTAATATACAAGTTACACAATCTATTAATCTGAAATCTTTTCTGAGTTTCTCATAATAAGTTGAGTCCAGGAATTGGTTGAATAAGATAAAGTTTGTGACTAACCATTCAATTTTATATAAGAATCATAAGAAGGTTGGTAAATGAAAAAAAGATAGACTGATTTGATTTGGATAAGTTGGATTGATTTGACGGGCACCGTCATTTGATGTTTAGTCAAGACCTCCTATAGATCAATTGCACAGATATTTATGATTGGGTGAAATTTAGTGTTTTGTGATAGTCTGGAGTCTTAAACTTGCTAAGTACTTGAGTGATTATTGGACTAAACCTCATAAAAGTAGTTTTCATACCTCAATGATCACTATGGGCACATTCACTTCAGGAATTTCTGATCAGAAATCACATTCTGTAAATATTTTAATGTACAAATGAAACCTATGTACCACCAAAGAGACACTTTAAATTTTGCAGAATGTGATTTCTCACCAGAAATTGCTTAAGTGAATGTGCCCTATATGGATATCTCTATCATGATTTAGTTTTGTTTTGGTTCAGGTGGTTTGTATCTTTTGATGATGACTCAATCCATTTGATTTGAATTAACAGTTACTCTAAAAGGTCTTGAAGAATGATCCTTTTGACGTGTTTGGATTTGAATTTATTTTAAATTGATAAAAAAACTAAAGAATATAATTGAGGAAATATAACCATATGTACCAAAAAGTAAGATTAGGTTATGAGGTCATATATATTCAGGATGAAGTGAAATGTTTGGTTTAAACAAAATAACTAATCAATACCAAGTGATGGAATGATTAGTGGGGTTCAAGTCAAAAATTCCTGAGCGGAATTTTATGACTACCGAGCGATTTTTTTAGGACTACCTTTACCTATAAGCTCACTCAGACGTCGTAAAGAGTGTTTAAAAGTAAGCCACTGGGGCTTATAAGGAAAAAAAAACAAGCTTTGAAACAGAGGTACGAATGCTTAAAAAGCTTCGAAAAAAACTCAAGAGCGTTGATGTTGAAAAATCAATCAAAAAAGAGGCTCTTTGTGAAAAAGCGCTAGAAAAAAAGAGAGAATAAAATTAAGATGATCAAACTGCAGCCCAAAGGTGGTTTGATTTCGTCCGGGTCACAGATGCCGAGTGGTAACTATTGACGCTCGCTGAGACCAGGATTACAACGTCATCATCGACCAACCTTTCCTCTTCAATCTCCATCTTTCCACGATGCCAAGGTGGTCCGAACGAGCTCAGATTATCCGAGATCTTACCCTGGCCTGTGTCTGGGAGCACCTCGATTCGATGAACAACTTTGCCATCTACGACGACGAGGAGCCGGACTTTCCAACTGATGGACAATTATTGTATCCTGATGATCCTGCTGAGGCCGAGCTCTACGATGCAGTTTTCAGTCAAGAAAACGAGTTAGCTGATTTACTTACTTGGGTTAGCAAAACACGGTATCTCTCTCCACGACACAAGGCTCCTCATGCTTCTCCATTCAACTTACAAGACATGCTCCGAGAATGTCGTAAAGATTTTCGACAAGCAATGCGTACGACCCCTGAAGGATTCGAAGCCCTCAGAGATCTTATTCAGGACCATCCGAGCTTTATATCAGTCAGCAATAATCCACAACCTCCGGTCGAACACCAGCTAGCTATCACTCTGGAGCGTCTAGGTAGTAATGGGAATGGGGCATCGGTGGGTCGGTTCTCACGGAACTACAAGGTCAGCCGGGGTCAAATTATCAAGTGTACTCGGCGAGTTATTGGTGTGATCCTTGAACGCGGTGATCAATATCTAGCTTGGCCATCGGCTGATCGTCGGAAGGCTATATCAAGTGTATTGCAACAAGATGGCTTCCCTGATTGTGTGGGTTTTGTTGACGGAACTACAATTCCTTTGTATCAACGGCCAGGACGGGATGGCGAGGTTTTCTTTGACCGGAAACATTCATATTCAATCAATGCGCAAGTGGTATGTGATTGCGATCAACACATCACTTACCTTTATGCTGGTTGGCCTGGCTCTTGCTGTGATAGTACAGTTTATGCCAAGACCGATATGGCAGCTCGTCCAGACAGATACTTCTCACCTGGTCAGTATTGTTATCTTTGATCTGTATTGAGATCTTGACATTGATTGTTCATCCTTCTGGTATAGGTGAGTACATCGTGGCCGACTCAGCCTACAACCCATCAAACACTGTGGTTCCTTCTTACAAAGGCCCAGCTGCCGAAGTCGAAAGAAACCGAGAATTTAATTGGTGTGTTGCAAAGACTCGTGTGCGTAACGAGCATTGTATTGGAATTTTGAAGGGACGCTGGGCTTCACTGCAAGGACTACGTCTTTCTTTGAACAAAAAGGATGACATGCGACATATCCTTGATTGGATCAAATGCTGTGCGATCCTCCACAACATGCTTGCCAATCTTGGCAACGCATGGGATGATCTAACCGAATCAGTCATGGGGGACAACATCTGGTATCAAGATATTGAAAGGACATTTGAAGAAAGTGGTGCGGAAGTTATGGAAAGGGGTAGGGCAAAGAGAGAGATAGTTCGAGATCACACAGTAGCTTACAATTACGCACGAGGTGTCCTCCCTATTGTTGATCCCCGCCTGCCTGCCTGATTGGAATCAAATCCTGTGGTGGAAGTTTATGTTTATTCAGATGTTTTTTTTGGTCAAATTTTTTGTTCTTTTTTTCTCGTGATCCTTTTAATTCAGATCCTTCAAGTTTATTTGAAAGTTGTACACAATGTTGATATCTATCATGAATTTCAATTCAAACAACAACCTTACAATTGTAAACGACTGCTACTGAGTGCTCTTGCAAAGACAAACAAGTGGGAGAGGGAGAAATTGAAAAGAGAAACAACAAAGAACAGCAAATTAACAATCTTGAACTTAGCTCAAAGAACTAAATCAAAATTGTGAAATTCATCTATTGATTGCCTTATTGATAAAGAAAAACAACTTTTTTATAGGTTTTTATTTTTATTTTTTGATGATGAAAATGAAAGGACAACAATCAGATTGCTAATGATCAACTGAATGGTGTTCTTCTTGAGATCGCTAGTCTTGATGGAAATAAAGAGACGATCAACTGAATGGTGTTCTTCTTGAGATTGCTAGTCTTGATGGAAATAAAGAGACAATCAACTGAATGGTGTTCTTCTCGAGATCGCTAGTCTTGATGGAAATAAAGAGAAGATGTGATGGATGGTGTTCTTCTCGAGATCGCTAGTCTTGATGGAAATAAAGAGAAGATGTGATGGATGGTGTTCTTCTTGAGATCGCTAGTCTTGATGGAAATAAAGAGACGATGTGATGGATGGCGTTCTTCTCGAGATCGCTAGTCTTGATGGAAATAAAGAGACGATGTGATGGATGGCGTTCTTTCATTTGCTAAAAAACGGACAACAATCAAAGAATAAGGAGTTGGTGGAGATAAGGTGAATTGAAATAACCAAGTCGACAATGACAATCCGATTTGTTGTTGTTGTTGTAACGTTGTATATTGAAGTGTTTTTTATATTAAGATGATCTTATTGTACATTGAAAAGTATTTCTAAAAGTATTTCTTCGAGTCTTGAGTCGACACTTTGATCAGACAAGATAAATTGAGACAAATTGATAAGGTGAAACTTGGAACAAGATAAATTAAAAGAGATGTACTGAAAGTTGTTTGCGTTGCCATTTGTGAATTGAATTTCTTTGAGCTAGTTGACGATCTGGCTTTCTTATTAAGATACATTGAGAAATTGAGAAGTAAAATTGAGACAAATTGATAAGGTGAAACTTGGAACGAGATAAATTAAAAGAGATGTACTGAAAGTTGTTTGCGTTGCCATTTGCGAATTGAATTTCTTTGAGCTAGTTGACGATCTGGCTTTCTTATTAAGATACATTGAGAAATTGAGAAGTAAATTGAAAGAAATAAGTTGAACTAAATTAAAATACATTGAAAGAGTGAAGTCAGTGATTCAGTGTTGCGCCGGAGGTGCACTATAAGTTGGTGAATCAGCTAGTCAGTTCAATCAGTCATTTGTTGGATTATTCATTATTGTCACAACTTACACAGGTGCAGACGGAGGAAATACCACCTTGAGGTATTTTTCAACCTCTTCAGGGGTTTTACCACCTAAGGCAAGCTCTTGAGCTAGTTTTGCACGTGCTGATAGTTCTGATCGAGCATTCTCGGCTGAGATACGGTTGCTTTCGTCCAAACATCCCATCTTGAATGCATACTTTTCCCAAGTTAATCGAGCATGAGCATCTGTGCTCTTGGCCAGCTCAGATTTCTGGCGCGACTCATTAATGGCCTTCATCTCCTTAGCTCTGGCCTGGCTGCTGCTCATTAAAGCCAATGCGATGGGGTTCTTGATGTCTTTGCTATGCACTGTCGAAGGATCGATAGCCGGAAGTGGATCCATTTGGCGAGATGCAATGGTTTTGCCGGGGCCGGCCGACTTGCGAGATTGGATTGACCTCCCCTTTTTCTTGGAAGGTACAGCAAGTTCCGAAGCATCACTATCGTTTTCGAAAGAAGGTTGCTTAGCTCGGCTCCTCTTCTTGGGCAAATTTTGATTACTCTTGGATGAATTTTGAGTTTGTTGCGTGTTCTGAATCTGTTCCATTTCTTCTTCAATTTGTTCGTTTTCATTTTCAAGAGCCTCATCATCTTGTGCTCCTTCATCGTTGAAATTCAAGCACAGGTCATCGAGTTCCCCAGGATTTCTTTGATGATTGTCAGTTGGAGAGAGAATAGGCGAGAAGTTTGCTGTAACCATGCGGTCGTTATAGTTAGGAGGAATGATTGCAGGTGGCAGAGGTGGAATATACAAATCCTTGATTGGGCTTTGAACAAATCTGTTGTTTAAGTCTTCTTCTTGTCTTCTGTCGGTCTCAGCCAGTTGCTTCCATATTTTGGCTGATTGTTCTTTATTTGGGTGAAAAAAAGGGTCATCCCATGAATATGGGATAGTTGGCTGCGATCCTTGTGCAAAGTCTGCGTAAGATTGAGTGAATCTCTGGATAGCTAGCTCTGACTGATGTCTCTCATAATCGTTGGTAGCTAATAGCGCATGGTTTGCGTTTTGATAATGATCAAAATTGACAGATGGATTGAATGGTTGCCGTGAAGTGGATGGTTGACCTAAATCAAGAGGTACTGGTTCTGAAGTATCGGAATCGGAGTTCTGAGATGAATGACTGGTGTGCTCAGAAACTTCTAAACGCAATAGAGACTGATCGATATCTTCTTCTTCTTCTTCTTCTTTTGAAACCCCAGAGTCCATGATTCCAAAAGGAACAATGTTTGGCTTGTCTTTGAAAAGGTTGTCCATCTCCTTGAAGCAAGGACACTTTGATTCAACCACATCCTCAAGTTTGATACCTCGGAGACGTTCTGCTTCAGTTAAACCTGCACCAGTTCCACCTAGCCAAGTCTTTGTACGAGAGTATTGTCGTCTGTAGCGAATCAAGCAATCCTTCATAGTCTTTCCAGTGAGCCGCATTACCGATGTATTTGGACAAGAATGTGAACAAGAGAAGACTTTGTTCCTTTTGTTGTAATCGTTGTTGATGTCTTCAGCTAGACTGTTGAGTATCGTTGTTGTTTTCATCGGTAAGCCAGTCACATTCGTTTTCTTGCCGCCGCCAAAGAGGAAATTGTAGATCTTTGGTTGAGCCAGGTATGTGACTATATGAACATAGTCAGCGTGTTGGAAGACAGGGCTCTTGTAGGCCTTTGGGGTGTCGGCTTTCTTGGTTGATTTGTTTTTTGATTGACGTGATGTTGAAGGGGTAGGAGCCTTCTTTGTTGATTGAGAACGCTTCGCAGGAGCCTTCTTGGTCGATTTCTTTTGTGACGGATGTAACTTAGAAGGTGCAGTAGTTTCTTGAGTCAAATCGTTGGATTGAATTGATTGATCAGATTTGGCTTGACTTGAATCATCGGCTTCTGCTGGACCTTGTTCACGAGCAGCTACAAGAGATCGCCTAATTTCGGCCCTAGTTGCCTTCCCTTTCTTCTTGGATCCAGATTTAGCTAAATGTTCTGCGATCTGAGCATTTGTCCGACGAGTTCGTTTAGGCTGGATTTTGGAAAGCAGCAAAAAAAGCATAATGATCAGTACATTTTCAAGATGAGAAGAAAGGATGAAAGAAAAACAATACCTTGTCGTTTGATGTGGATTTGGGCTTTGGTGGCATGTTGTGAGTATTCTGAATGAAGCTGATAAATGTGAATATTTATCGAATTGACTTGTTAAATCGAGATGGAAGATTGAGTTGGGGTGTTTGAGAGATGAGGTGATTCGAACAGAGATATAAATATAAAAATGATAAATATAAATGATACAGGCACGAGAAATCGTAAAGAATCAAAGGAATCGAGAAATCGTAAAGAATCGAGAGAATCGAATTGAGAGAATTGAGAGAATCGAATCGAGAGAATTGAGAGAATCAAGTTGAGAGAATTGAGAGAATTGAGTCGAGAGACTGTGAAGGATCAATGATAAATGATACAGGCACGAGAAATCGTAAAGAATCAAAGGAATCGAGAAATCGTAAAGAATCGAGAGAATCGAATTGAGAGAATTGAGAGAATCGAATCGAGAGAATTGAGAGAATCAAGTTGAGAGAATTGAGAGAATTGAGTCGAGAGACTGTGAAGGATCAATGAGTCAAACGGAATAGATAACAAATCTTGATTGGGTAGAAACAAACCAACACAACGAAGCACCGGTGCCACGAAGAACTGAGGAGGATTGGAGGTGATATGGTGAAAGGGTAGGAGGATTGGATGTGATATGGTGAAAGGGTAAGGTGGTTCTTTGGACAGAGAGGACCAGTCGGGGGTACCATTTGTCACCAGAGCTGTCCCAGAAGTGTGACATACAACCTCATACAACAAACCGGTATGGTGGACTTGTTGGCTCCGAGACGTCGGAGCTGCCGGCCAGAAGTAACTTATCTCTGTTGCTTTGGACGGTTCGAAACGGCAGAGCAATCACTTCTTTTTTTATCGAAACGGCAGAGCAATCACTTCTTTTTTTAACAAGACAGTTGAAGACAAAAAAAAAAAGAACTCCTGACTTTTTTTTGGTCACATGTGCTTGTAGGCAATTGCAACCGCCTCTTTTAAAAAAAGAAAAGGTGTTTTTTTTTTCAAAAAAACAGGAAAAAAAAGGTCGTAAATTATAAGTCTTTTTAAACCTCACGAGCACCTCTCGAGGTGCTCGTGAGGTTTAAAAAGTGACTTATAATTTACAACCTTCGAGTGACGTCTAAAACCCATTTTAGGTTCAGATTATTTTGACTTGAGCCCCACTATTAGGGCAGTTCAAGACGGCCTTTTACAGCCTATCTTAAACTTTTACGGACTGCTCGGGTAGTTCTAATTATAAGTTAAATTTTAAGTTTGGTGAACCATCTCTAGAGGTGGTTCACCAACTTGCGAGCTGTCATTTGGTCTTAAAATTTTTAAGAGCCTCAAAGCAAAAAAAAGAAAACTTGGTCAGTCAGGTCCGATTGCCCGCAAAAAAAAAGGGTAATTTTTTTCCTTGTTTTCCCTTGTTTTTTTCGCATTTGCCCTGTTGGTAACGTCTTTTTGTCAAGGGAAACAGCCGCCTCTTTTTTTTTGTTTCCTCAAAGCTCGCTTTGTCCCCAGCATGGATAATCAAACGTGAAACACCGACGTTTTCCGGGTCGGGCACATACACATGCTTCACCTCCTTCCCAAGAAATATCCTCTCACTTTCCGCTCGATCGCAGGTCACGCGACGCGATCCATCCCACCCTCGCCGGCTCTGCTTATCACATCAGGACTCAGCCAAACATCACGTCTGATACCAAGAAGATCTCCGTCACGCCCGCTTGAGCTGAGGACCTGGTGCTCACGTTAATTTTGATGTTGGTCTTGCGTTCGGACGGATCTTTCACACATAAGATTCCGCAACCTTTCTCTCGTCCGTTGTTCTCCTCCACATCGCTTTTTGATTCATACTATTACTTTTTCTTTGGAGTAACAACCGTAAGCGATTCACCTCCTCACCCTGTTTGCTTTCTATCGCGCTATCCTATCGGCTTGCCTTTCGAAAGTCAATCAAATATTTCGTTCAATACCACGTCAATCTTAATATGACCCCTCTTTCTCAACCAAACGGCAAAGTAAGTGCACCAGAAATGGCGCTTTTGTGTGCGTTCACATCACTGACCATGCTTACTGTGGATGTATCAGGCAGCTCAAAGGACCCGGCGAACAAGGGCCCAAATCGAGGAGGATCTCATTGCCTCTGGACTCCCTGCGATTGGTGCTCGCCCAACTCCTGCTGCTATTAAACGTTCCCGTGTCGCTGCTCAAAAGCGCGCACTCAGCACTTCTAATGCGGCTTCAACCAAAATCACCCGAGACAGCCCACCTTTCCAACTGGTTGATTATCAAGCGATTGTTGGGTACCTTGGCAACGTGAAGATTCGCAATTCTATTTTTGGTGGCGGAAGTACCAGAGTGTCCGGATTGCCGATGAATCCAAAATCTATCTTGAACAGTTTGGCTATGAAGTTAAATAACAGTTACAATATTCGACACAATTCGACCGATATGCGTTTGAACGGCCGTGTCCTACACCAACGGCTCAAACGTTACAAGTCTAAATACACAAGCACAAAAGCATTTAGTATGAAGACTGGCAGTGGTTTGTCCGCCAAGAACGTTTCAGATGGTATACGTACGATGGAGGAGCTTTTGGAGTCTATGTGCCCGTGTTTCAATGAGATGGATGTAATCTTCCGAGACAATCCGAATGTCAATCCTTTTGGAATTCTAGACACCGGCGTCTCTCCACCTTTATCTGACGACGACTTTAACAATGCACCTGCAGAAGATGTCGATGAAACCCTAGATGACAGCCTCCTTGTTGAGGGGCCTCGCAGCGACGGCAGTACAAGTGACGGCCATGACCACTCGATTTCGGTACCCAAACGCATTGGTGTGTGATCGCTGAATTGAGTTAGATACCTTGATTTCAATTCAATTGATGTGTTTGTTTCCCTTCAGCCGAAACTCCTTCGGCTCCTATGCCATCAACCGCTGCAACTCCCGGTGCTGGGCAACACAATTGAGTTTGTGCGTTTGTTCCGGTTTTTGTAGCATTGATTTCTTTTATTGATTGATTGCATTATTTTGATTCAGCCGCGATCACTCCTGGGCCCGAGGAATTACAAGCAGTTCAGGATATCTTAGATGCACAATCTCCCAATTTGGTGCCACACAAGATGAATAGTCCAAATCTGAACGCTCACTACCGTAACTTCCTGGACAACGATTTGGATTCCCCACCTCCCACTCCTCGAATTGATGATCCAGTTGACCTGCCCTCAAGTGCAATTCCAGCGGAAAACCCTCCAGTTTCGCCACGTATTGCCAGCAAACCCGCCCGCAAGAAGAGCAAGATATCGAACAAATACGCGCTCACCGCAGCTGAGCGCGCTTTGGACAGCTCATCATCTGACGAGGGTCCTACAGTTTCAACTAGTACCCAAACACGTGGTAACACACGTCCTACTCTCGCAAGCCGGGCCGTTGATCCCCTTCCGTCGATTGACCCAGCATCAGTGCGAGGTAAAGACTATAAACACCCCGTGGCCACAGCGATGCAACTCGGAAATGCTGCCAAAGTCGAAATGTTACGAGCGGCCTACGAGTGGCGACAGGAATTTGATGCGGCCAAACACGGGGCTGAAGTTGCAGCTCGCCAGTCCGACCTGAATTGGGCTAAGGAACGGTTCTTTTTGGAGCGTGAAGAGGCGCGCAGCAGACTGGCCATTGAAGCTCGCAATGAGCGCAAAGCGTTTTGCGAGAAGCTAGTCTTGGAGGGTAAGTCTCCTGAGGAGCTCGAAAAGTACCTTCGCCTCGTGTATCCAGAGGGAAGTTGATTTGATCGTAGGTGCTCTACATATTTCTCTGTGTGCAGTTTGCAGTTTACTGACAAAGCCTGTCTTGTCCCAGGACTGTCATGTCTTCTGCAACACAACACTGTCTTATCTTTTGTCAAAGTTTGCTTATGCGATTGCGGTTACGATTTGATCTGTACCCCGGTTACTGTTACTTGACGATTCATCTTGGCCTATTTCCGATGTTCCCCTTTTTTCTTGGCCTGTTCCTGATGTTCAGTTTCTTTCTTGTCAGCCTCTTTATGTGTGTCAATCTTGTGTATGTTGCGATGTTTTTAAGTAGTGTTCTGTCTGTCCCAAATGTGTCCAAGTTCGGTCCCGCAATGCAAAGTTAGTATCATTCTTTTTCAGTCGTATGTTTGTCCCGCAAACAGAGTCCCTTTGATTTTTGCCAACTGATAGAATCCATTTCGGGGATTTTTGGGTGACACTTGAACAAACCAAGTTGGGATAACTCTTAATCCAAATGATTACTTGGGTCACCCTTCGATTTCTTTTGAAGCCAATGAAATATCATGTTAGATTTCAACAGAAAACCACAGTACTACTTGGGTCACCCTTCGATTTCTTTTGAAGCCAATGAAATATCATGTTAGATTTCAACAGAAAACCACAGTACAATCTGATGAAAAGAAAAAAACTACCAAAACAAAGACAAACAAAAAAGACAAACAAACAGAAATACGCAACAAATAAGAAATTCGATTCAAGACTAGAGCTACAACCAAAAGACAACCAAAAACAAATATCGCTGATCCCATTTACATATTAAACATAATAGAATATGCACCATCATTGAACAATCGGGAGGCCCCCGTTCTCCCAGTTGTACGCCACCGCGTGATCTCGCACATTCTCCCGCATGGCCCTTCCTCTTTCAATCATCACCAGATCTGAGACCACTTCACAATACCTATCCTGTCCAGCTTCCCCACGTTCAGGCAAGACTAGGTCACCCTCCTCATTCCCCCAAGCGTTACCCAGATTGGCCAACATATTATGGAGGATAATGCAGCTCCGAACCCATCGAAGTACATGTTCCATGTCACCTCGCTCATTAAGACCAAGCCGTAATCCTTGAAGTGAAGCCCACCTCGATTTGAGGATACCAATCGCATGCTCGTTTCGCACCCGAGATTTTGCAACACACCAATTAAATTCTCTGTTGCGCTGAACTTCGGCTGCTAGGCCTTTGTACGAGGGGACTACAGTTTCAGTTGGCTGGTACGCGGAATCAGCTATTATATATTCCCCTGAAAAAGAAAGGAGAATATAGTCAGCTGAGAGGTTTATCCAGGCAGGATGCTTAAGAGATGCATACCTTGATCGAAATATTTATTTGGGTTGTTGGACACATCGGTCTTTGAAAACACTGTGCTATCGCAGCATGAACCCGGCCATCCCCCATAGGCGTAGGTGATGCGGCGGTCGCAGTCACATATGATTTGAACATTGACTGAATAACGGTGTTTGCGGTCGTAGAAGACTTCACCGTTTAGGCCGGGTCGCTGGAAAAGAGGGATTGTAGTGCCGTCCACAAAACCAACGCATTTGGGAAATCCATCTCGCTCCAGCACCTTGGAGATCGCTTTCCGACGATGTGAATTGGGCCATGCGATGTAGTGTGATCCTGCTTCTAGAATTGCTGAAATCACTCGCCGAGTGCAGTTGATCACAGAACCCCGGCCCACTTTGTAGTTATGCGCAAAGCGACCGACTGAGGCCCCATTGCCATTACTGCCCAGGCGTTCCAAAGTAATCGCGAGTTGTTGTTCCACAGGTGGTTGTCGATTGTTGCTGGTGGAGACAAAGATGGGATTTGTACAGATCATATCCAAAAGAGCACGGAAACCTTCAGGCGAGGTCCGCATGGCTTGACGGAAATCGGTTTGCCTCGAGTGTAACATGTCCCGCAGGTCAAAGGGATTAGCAGGAGGTACACGCATGCGGGGTTGTAGATATCGGCTCGAAACGACAACTGAGAGCATGTTGCCCCATTGGTCTTCCTCGTCAAAAACATCATCATATAAGTTCGATAGATGGTCGTCATTCGGGAAGAGGAGATGGCCATCGCTGGGGTCCGGTTGGTAGCCATCATGTCCAGGTATGTTAGTTCCCGCGTTCATATGCGCGAAGATGCACAACATGGTCAGGTCCCGTATGGCCAGAGATCGGTCAGATGCGCGAGGCATGAAGGTATGGATGCTGAATGTTTAAAAATATCACGCTGAGGCTGTTATGTGTGCAGAGGTGGAAGCAAGAGATAGCGAACAAGAAAGTGATGAAGATAGAGTATGATATTTCGACAAACTTACAAAGTGGCAGAAGGGCAATGGTGAAATTCCCGAGTGAGGTAGGGTATGACGTGTTACTTGAAATGAAAAAAAAAAAAAACGTTCAAAACAGATGAAATCTGTTGAAAAAAAATGGTGGTAGGGTTTGACCTAACGCAAGATGGGAGCTAACGTGACCGTTTTTAGAACGTTGGCCCTGGAAAGTGATGGCCATAAAACTTAAATTTACAGCGTTCGACACTCTGCAAACGTAAAATTTAAGGATTTACAACCCTCAAATTTACGTTTGCCAAATCCCGGCGAGCTGTTCGCCGAATCCGTCTTGAATCAGAGATGTAACATGGTTTCTTTCTAAACATCATGACGTCATTAAATTTAAATTTATACTGATTTACAATCCACTAAATCATTCAAACCCACTTCCAACCCAAAAACCTCCATGAAAGTTTAATCCGAATTCGAAGATCAAGTAGACCAACCCTTTAAACAATCACTTAAATCATCCATCGTTTCTTTATTAAGCAAACTCAATTCATCCGTTCTCATCCACCTAAACAAAAACTCATCCAAAGAAATCTCCTCAGAATTAAAACTCGAAAACACTTGACGTTTCGAAACCAATTCAGCTTGATAAGCATCAAAGGTTAAGTTCAAATGATCTACTGCGTTCTTAGGATCGAATCCGTTAGACGATTCGATTTGAATCATTTCTATATCAATCGAATATAACAGTTGAGATAATCGATCGATGATTGATTCCAAGAGGTTTAATGATTCGATGATCTTCATGGTGAATTCAACTTTGGTTTGGTTTAGTTTGTTGAAGGTTCTTTCGACGATGTTGGATGGTGATGGAAGTATTGATGATTGTGATTGTCTTTGGTTTAAATTGTTTAGGTTTTCGAATTGTTGTTCAGTTGATTTTAAACCTTGAACGAAATTGATCGATTCATTATAAATTCTAAAAAAAAAAACATACAAAATATAAAATTGTCAAGTTGGTTGAGAAGAGAGATGTGAAGTTGATTATGGAATGAAAGTAACTTTTTGAATTCTTGAGTGAGTTGATCAGCTTGGTTTAAGATTAAGATGATCGTCGATCCTCCTGGATTTGACTCTTGCGCCATCGTTGGATTAGGTAATCTGATGAGTGCTTGAATGGTTTTATTGAACCAAATCAACCATCAAGGTCCGATGAACAACACTACCCGACCCGATCAGAACATCGAGTCACTCTCACTCTCACTCCTCTCCAGTCCAGTAATCCAGCCCCAGTAATCGATCACTCACCACATTCAATTCTCAACTCTCAAGAAAAAGCAAATCAAGAATGTTAAAGTTAAATGAAATCAAAACCAATTTCCAAAAAGAAAGACAAATCGGAATCTCATCAATCTTAAAATCGACGATCCTAACCCAAAAAGTTTTCAAAACCCTAATTCAAAAAGACCAAATCATAACCAAACAAGACAAAAGTCCAGTCACAAGTTAAGTTTACCTTCTCTTTCTCATTCCCCCCCCCAAGAAAAAAAAAACAGTAAACAAAAACTTACTAGATTTTTCATGGATCGTGGTTTTGGTTTTTTTGTAGTTGGAGATTATGGTTCACAAGCATTAATTAATTTATTAATTTCAAAACATTTTCCGAATGATAAGATCATAGGAGAAGAAGAAATCCAAGACCTACAAACCACATCAAATTCTCCAACCTTGAATCAAATCGAAAGATTAATCAATGAAACATTAACTACCAAACTAGAATCAGAAACCGATGAAGAAGTATGGAAGAACAGTAGGATACCCAAAAGTTTAAACCAATCTGAGATTTTAGAAACCATTAATTTGGGTAATTCTAAAGAAGAAAATGAAGATGAAGGGAATGGAGAAAGGTTTTGGACTTTAGATCCTATTGATGGTACTAAAGGATTCTTAAGATCAGACCAATACTCGATCTGTTTATCACTAATCATCAATAAAAAAGTGACTCTAAGTTTCATAAGTGCCCCGAACCTATCTACCGATCCATACCCATCTTCATCCAACCCATCCTCAAAGATCGGAACATTATTCTATGCAGAACATGGAAAAGGAGCCTACCAAAGACCTATCAATACGAACGACTCATCAATCTATAGTCCAATCCGAACCAATCCAATTAGTTTTAATGGATTTCAAACTAGTGGAACGTTTTGTGAATCATGGGAATCAAATCATTCGAATCAAATCTTAAATTCAAAGATCTTAGCCCATTTAAAGCTATCTAATCCTACACCGATCAGATTAGATTCTCAAGTTAAATATTGTTTGATTGCAAGAGGTGATGTGAATGTTTATTTAAGATTACCAATCGATTTAAACTACAAAGAAAAGATTTGGGTAAGTTCTTTTTCTTTCTTTTACCAATCATATCATATCAACATCTGATTTGTGTTTTTGTTCTTGGTTTTGTGGGGTTTAAAAGGATCATGCTGCAGGTAGTTTGTTGGTAGAAGAAGCAGGTGGTAAAGTCACTGATATGTGGGGAAAACCTTTAGATTTCTCACTAGGTAAAACTTTAATTCAAAACGAAGGAATCGTCGCTTCTCATCCTAATTTACATCAATCTCTTTTAGATGCCATTAAATCTGTTTCAAAACTTTGATGGTTCTTCTGTCTCTCTACCGTTTTTTTCTCATCTTGATGTAATTTATTTCATCTTACTTAATTATTAGAAAAATGAAATAACAGATTTTCATTTCTTGATTCTATGCTTAAAATCATAAATGAAGTTTAAAATGAAAAAAGTACAATAGATATACAATAAAAGAAAAGAAAACCAATTCAGAAATTCCAAACCCTAAAAAATATAAAAGAGAAAAAGAAATGTAATTCAAGTTCCAAATATACACAAATCAAAAGAAAAAAGTATCCAATCCAACTCCAACTCCACTTCATCTTTTATTTAATGATGATGATGATGATGGTGGTGGTGGTCTAGACATACGAGTAGAAGTTAAAGTTTGATTCAAAGGTACTGAAACAATCGATCTAAGAGGAGTAGGAGGAGGCGGTTTTTTAGTTTTCGGCATAAACAAACTACTTGGTTTCTTGATCATCAAACCAGAACCAGAAGGACCAGAACCAGAAGAACCAGAACTAGTCGGCTGATGATTAGAAGAACTTCCGATGATCGGTATTGTTTCTTTAGTAGATCTAGGGGTCATGGGATTGATCGGTCTGACTACTTTCATCAAGGTGGGTTTGGAGGTCGATTGGAATGGAGTAGGTTTGATGATTCTACTTGAAGGGTTCGGAGGAATTAAAGGTTTGGATGGGACTACTTTGACTACTATGTTAGGGTTTTGTAAATGAGATCTAGGTGTGGTTTGATCCGAAGAAGAAGAAGTGCTGGTTTGATGGATTGGATTTGAAGAAGAAGAAGATCCAATAGAACGAGTCAATGAACTTGATGGGTTAATTACTGATCCTATTGGAGTCTTTAATCTAGACGCATTAGCATAAACAGCACAAGACTTTTTAACTTGTTGTCTTGCTTTTTCAGCCAACGATTTACTTTGATAAGGATTTCCACGATGATTAGAACTCATCAATCGTTTACTTCTAAACTGTCCTCGATCAGTTTCTCCTGTAAAAATCGCTTTTCGTTTACTAAACTCAGATCGATTTGCTTGGGTTCTTTCTCTCAGTCGGGCTGAAGCGTTCGCTAAGGCTTTGGCTTTGGATTGTTTGATGGTAAAGTATTGGATTCGATGGATTGGTAAATCAATTGGTTCATTCGTGTATGGATTAATGGTTTGGGTTGGGTATGGTTCTGAGTTTGGTTCTGGTTCGATGGTTCGGGTGGCTTGGGGTTTAGATTCGTTGGGAAAATCTCTTCTTAAATGTAATAACCAGATCTCATCTGATTCTAACATCAAATGCTAAATTCAAATCAAATCAAGTTCAAAAACACATCAGTTGATTTGTTTTTTTTTACATTCTTGTGATATTCCGAAGCAATTAAAGATTATACTAACAGGTGATAAATCTTCAATTTCTGCTAATTGATCTGGTGGACATGCAAATAAAACTGGTCTAATCAATTCATAAACACAATTTCCTACATCTTTTAAACCTATATATATAATTTTCCAAAAAAAAATCAAAATCAAAATCAAAATCAAATCATTAAGAAATTAGTGATGGTATTGAAACTTACCAGACGAATGAGCAGTTAAAACTAAAAATAAACAATCACCAAATCAATTCATTCAACAAATTCAGAAATTTCAACATCAACAAAACACTTGACCAAGACTTACGACGTAAACAAGATTCCTTGAGTGGGATAAGCATTGAGATATGAATGCTTTTGAAGTTAAAGATGGTTAAAGTAATAAGTTTGAATTGAAATGATAGAAAGTACCAATCTAGGAATGGATGTCAAAGCTGGAGGCTAAAGCTGAAAGTGGTAATACATTCACCGGGTCAGTTTCAGTTTGTCTCGGTATCCTTTCTCGGTACATTCCTATTTTTAGTAACTTATTCGTATCAAAAACTCTTCAACTCTTGACTTGAAGTTGAAGCCTCCTATTTACATGCATCAGTTGGGGTACAGATTAGATCAGATCAGAAACCAAATCCGGAAATGAACTTTCTTCTTTAATACCAGCCAAGAGTCAGATGATGGATCAAATCATCACCCAAATCATGATGTTAAGAAAGGAAGGTCGAGGATATGTAGTAACACAGAAGCAGAAATGATTTCAGCAACTATACCTTTCATCATGATCCAGTCTATGTTGATCAGGTAAGAGTTGGAAAACAGTCATGTGGTAAATATTTATTGAGGATAACAGCTGAGGGCAGTGTTTGTTTATAGGACTAGGTAAGACAAGTAGATTTGTTAACATATTGAAAGTTCATCATAGCTCTCCATCAGCTTTCTTACGGCAATGTGAAGAAATTGTACATCCCTCCAAGTTTGAGGATCATTCGGATTTATGGTTTTACAAGATCTCTAAACTTGTTCAAACCAATCTCAAATCACTCACTCATGCTAATCCTATTACCTTGATTAACCAAACTCAACCTTCATCATACTCTCAATCAAGACATCAAGAATACAATTTGAATTGAAAGATTTGATTCACTTTGCAGATGGTTAGACAAAGATTCAAGAAAAGAGAATTTGAATTTTTGGATGGGTTTATTTGAGGTTTACAAGATGGGAAAAGTCACAAGCAATTTCAAGTCAAAAACAAACAAGACATAGTAAGATACTTAGCAAGATGGGAACAGTCATAAGCATATTTCAAGTAAAAAACAAACAAGACATAGTAAGATACTTAGATTTGATTGGTCGATTGATTGATTGAATACAGGGTTCAATTTAAGCGATTTTGATTTGATTGGTAGCTGGTTTTTCAGCTTCACTATTGAATACATTGATATCCCTTAAAGAAAAGCAGCAAAAAATGAATAATTAATTTCAAAGATTTGTTTTCAAGATTGAATCAAGTTGAAATATTTGATTGCATTTTGAAAAGGCTTACCAGATGGGTGTATAAGTCATGGGTACATTAAATCTGACGACTTTCTTTTCACCTAGTTTGTTTAAAGTTTGATAATCTTCATCTGATAAATCGACTTGTTTAAAATTAGATTCAATTCTAGAAGGAGTGACTCTGTGAATTCAAAAAGAAAAAAATCCATCATCAATTTCTGATTTCAAAGGCTTGATGGTGGGATTTGTTTGAATAACTTACGATTTAGGGATCACTGAAATCCCACCACGAGCTCCCCAGGCAATCAATACTTGAGCAGGATCTGCTGATAATTTCTTTGCGATTTCAGCCACTTTTGGTTTTGGTTTTGATATTAATGGATGAGGAAAAAGAAAAGTCATCAATAAATTAGTATAGACTTCAGATCGAATTTTCAATTAAAGGGAAAAAAAAGACAAACCTTCAGGATAATCTACAATCTTAAGTTCACCTCGTAAGTTGTTTCCTAAGGGAGAATAGGCAGTGATATGGATCCCTTTGGATTCACAGTACTTGATTAATTCAGGTTGGATTAATAATGGATGACGTTCGATCTGATTTGAACCAAGAAAAGTAAGAAAGAAAGGAAATTCTCAAGGTCGATAGAGTGGCCCATTAAAAATGATGGATTCGATTCGTTTACCTGATTCACGCTAGGGGTCACTCCAGTAGCTTTGATCAAACCTTCAAGATGTTCAATGGTAAAGTTACTCACGCCGATAGCTAAAGATCAATTTACCAAATCAGATCAGTGTCAATGACAATTCTTAATCAATCGATTTAAGACTTACCTTTCACTTTACCAGTTTCTTTGAGCTTGATAAGTTCTTTCCAAGTATCGACTAATGAAGTTTGAAGATCAAGTTTAACTTTGGAATCAGTAGGAGCATCTTTTGGAAAAAGATATTCAGCTGGACTTGAAGCTTTGGTCGGTTCATCAAATGCAACTGGCCAACTGATTAAAATTACATCATACATTCATTCAGAATATCATCTTATTTTTGAAACATCAACAAAAACCGAATATAACTTACTGAATTAAATACTATTGATCACCAAATTCAAAAAAAGATTGATTAGTTAAAGACTCATTATCCAAACTTGTTTAAAAGAAATCAAATCAAAGAAGCTTAACTAAATCAAGATAAGTAGTCTTTAATTCTTTTAATGTATCTTCAAGTCCAGCTGAAACCCTAGAAGGATGATGCCAAGTATTCCAAAGTTTAGAAGTTAAAAAGATTTCTTCTCTTTTAATTCCAGAAGCTTCAATTCCAGCTGCTACTTCATCCTCTATAAAGAAAAAACCAAAAAAATGAGGTTTAGAAAAAAAAAAACAATGCAAGGGATAAGTTGGTTTGATTTTGATTTTGGTTTACATAGGATGAAAACGTACGGTTTTGATAAATCTTAGCTAAATCTAAATGACGATAACCAGTTTTTAATGCATGAGTGACTGCATTTTTAACTTCGTTTGGTTTTGATAACCAAGTACCAAGACCGATCTGAGGTATCTCAACACCTGGTGCGATTTTAATTGAGACTTGTTTTGACATGATGGGTTTTTATGAAATATTATCAATACGTTAGTAGATATGGAAAGACTTGGAAGTGAAGATGGAACAGGATGGAGCAAGAAAGTCAGTGGTTTATGTGTAGGTAAAATCCGATCATGGATTAAAGATTTGTAAGTGGCTGAGAGAACTATGACGCCATCGATTAACAAAAGTACTTACTACTTAGACTATGTTGTACATCTTCAGAGCATTCTTCTATGAAGTTCAGCACTTGATCGAACGAGATTTACCAATTACTTTCACCTCAACCCCCACTCTTACTAATACCACAGCAATCAAAGCCTCTCCAAGAAACCATTACCATCAGCCAATCAACACCTTCGAGCGCTCAGTGAAACATGAATGCTCAACTTATATCATACAACTCCGATCAAATCATCTCCACCTTAACTCATATCTATCGAGCCTGTGTGTGATTGCCAACAAGGTGTGGATTCCATTGATCACTTCCTTTTCAATTTGCCACAGATATGCCAAACAACAAAGGCCACTCATATCATCCATCAATGAACTAACAACTCATCGAAAACAAGGACATCCTAAGAGTCACAAACACAAAGGCTCTAGAATGGATTGCAAAATTCTGTACCTCAACATGGTGCTTCAAAAACCGCTGGGTCTGGGCCAAGATCAGTGATCGAGGAAACACCTCATTATTTCTCAATTCCTTCTATCTAAAAACATTTGTGTTTTACATACTCCCTCCTTTAGCGCCACCACATGTTCCATAACACTTGTAACACGTCGTTAAACAGCCAGCACGCGTTGTACTTTTCTCCACAGGGGTTTTTACCGGAGCGGAGCACAAGTACATAACAAAATAAAATAAAAATGTTGATCGAATCAACTGGAAGAAAATTATATAAAAGTAATCTAAACTGACGATGAACTTCTTCTGTTGTAAATCAAAACTCTTTGTTGAATTGACTTTGGTCATACTTTCTTCTTCATTTCTTATTTGATTTCATTTTTTTCGTATCTCAAGAAAAAGAAAAATTAAAAGTATATTTGTAAGCTTGCTGAGTCAAATGAAAATCTAACAAATCTAGGCAAAAAAACTTGAGGTAAAGAAAAATTCAAGCGGACTGATTGGACTTGGATTGTAGGAAGAGGATGTTGAAGAATAAATAAGATCCAAGAAGTGTATTGGTGGAGTTTCTGGCATTTTGGATCAGGGCCGTTCCATGCCATTGCAACTCGTGTATGTGTGAAGCTTTGCATAAAAGTTGCAAACCTTGCAGCATTTGTTATGTGCCACTTGAAATTGAATTCCCCTTGTTCGTGTGTGACCATCTATACTTTTGGAATGAACACTTACATGAAGGAAAGCCTTGAAAAGCATTCATGATGAAAAAAATTACTTTGTTTGAGAGATTTGGATGTTCAATTTGTTGAGATTAATGGGATGGAATCCCATGAGACTGAGTTTGATGACAAGAGATCCGATCAATCAGGATGAAAGTGTTTCTCATCACTCTCAACCCCGCATGTCAATTCTATCATATGGCTCAAAAGAAAATCAGATGTAATTATTCTGAAAAATTTTCCACATCGACTTTTCAAATATAGTCTCGAGTGATCAAGTCCTGCTTGAAAGATCAATTCAACAATGTAATGGTATCACCTTTTATAAGATCCCGGTTATCAGGATGAAATTCAAGACTTGCTTCACATGAGTAGTAAACTACAAATATCACACAACTGGGAAAGACTATACCTGATCAAGTCTGCATCAGACTAGAAGCCGGATCACCAAGATAAATTTGGTGATTTTCTATTCGGCAGAATTGATATCACAGAAATATTTTCCAGTGTTGAAATGAAATGTGGGAGTGTTTACATTGCAAAATAAACGTATAGGGCCATGAATGTTTGGTGGGATCTGCTTATTCTTCTCTTCATGATTGAAGTATCTATCCTTATTGATAGAGGATTAATCGAGATGAATGCAGTGACCGCTGCGGATCCTTCGTCTTTAATAATAAAGAGTGAGCCATTCATGGATTGGAGACCACATACTTGTCGTGCTGACAACGGGGCCGGCTTCGTCGCGTTTGATGATAAAATTGATCGGTGTGCCACATGAATTATCTTTTCATGTCGATGTCGGAGATGGGTTCTGATGCGGCTCGTTAACGTGGCTTAGAAATTTGACATAAGTGCAAAACCAACTTCGAACACCACTGCAGTGATATATACTCGATGATTTAATTAACGATCAAAAAGGTCATCGATCATCACTGTTGAGATCACCTCGTGTTAGTCGAAATATCTCAATGGAAATCTTTAACACATCAAATTTTCTCACCGTGATTGTGCTCTGTGACTATTCGAAAAAGACGCCGGTCTCTCTCTTGGAATGAGATATGAAGCATCTGTGTCACCCCAAAAAATACACTTCATTGATATATGAACTCACGAGTGATCCAAGAGATTCATCCAAAGTTCATTCCTTTCTTCTCTGTATCAAGTTGATAGATTCAACTAATCAGACTGGATAAGAAAGTTTCATTGATTGTAAAGAACTGACGTGATTGAGATCGGTTTGGATTTTATCATGAGTTCATTCATACATCTTTTTACATTACTTTTGAGTTTAGTTAATGAGATTCATTCAAGTCCTGCTCGACAAGAAACGAGTAACTCTCATACTGGTCAAGGAACTTATTGGGTGAACATTTACATTTTTTATTTTTCAATTACTTGAATGGATTGAAGAGAGAAAGAGATCAGTTGAAACTTATGAGATTGGATGATGTTCTTTTGATTTTCTAAACTTGGAAAGGGTGGAAATTGGGCTGGTGGAAAGTAAGTAAAGCTTAGATGAACAGAATGTTTTTTCCATTTATGATCTTGGTAGTTATCAAAACTGAAACCTTTCTTATTTCAGTTGTGGTTTCTCTACTTGGCCACAACCGAGCAATTATCCAGAGATTGCTATTTCTGGAAGCTTATGGGAAAACGGCGCATACTGTGGGGCTTGCTTGAAAGTAAAAGGGCCAGGTGGTCGAGCCAAGGTTGGGATCGTAGGAGATCAGTGTCCAGATGTAAGTATTTAAATAAATTCAAGTGATCATGGATGGGTAAATCATTCACTGATAAATGATTACAAGTGTCCCCCTGATGGACTTGATATGGATCCCGCTATGTGGTCAGCTGTAACAGGAAATGCTTCTCCAGGGAAAATACAGATTACTTGGTGAGTATCAATGAGTCTTATTCTTCCTTCCCATACTTGCTTGAGATAGTGCAAGAGACATTGTAGACTGAACCATTGGATCTTAGGGAGGTGGTATCTTGTGGAATGTCAACTCCTATCAAGCTCATTAACAAAGTGGGAGTTTCTGCACATTGGTTTTCAATGCAGGTAGCTGGATCAAATAACCCAGTGAAATCATTGGAGATCTCAACTGATCAGGGTCAAACTTGGCAGCCCACCAAGCGTCAAGCAAGCAGTAATTTTTGTAAGACATGATTTCAACTGATATTATTATGTTTTAGAAAATTTGATAAACAGAAAGATATTCATGTTTTAAAAAAAGAATCACACTGAATTGATTGATATGTTTCATTTTTCAAGTTCAACCTGATAAACCTGCTCAAGGACCGTCTGGAGATATTAGAGTGACCTGTAGCAATGGAAAAACAATCATCACTAAGAATGTTGCTTTTACATCTTCTGGAAGTCAAAATGGATCTGGAAATTGCTGAAAGATCTAGTTACTATTTGTATTATATTCTGAGAGTTGAAAGTTACATACGCAGGTCGTAAAGATGTACTATTTCATTTCTGTATGATCAAATCTTTTTACATTTTTGTTGAGGGGATGAAGTATTAAATGAGCACCAAATAAGTACCAGAAAAAAACATTGATGGTTGTTCACCGGTTGTTATCCCAGTTTACCATTTTCTGTCTTATCAATCTCAACCTTTTCAATAAAAGAAAGGTTCTGTAGTATCTGTGTTTGTGACTTCTGCATGTTCAACATTCAAATTTAATCCAAGTGAAGCCAAATGTTATTGGTACTGGATTGGAAGGAATTAGATGACTTTCCAGGTGCATTGCACAATCAGAGGACAGATCTTCTTTCATATTCTCATCAAGATCCAAGCTGCTTTGATGTATGAGTTACTCAAGCAATGAGGCAGGTGATTGATGAATCCATCAAGCCATATCACATGCCAGATTCTTTGCTTTAAGTTTTAGAAATTTGAAATTTGGACCAGGCCCACTTAGAAAGACAACAATTGATCTGGTGCTTGTTGGGTCTTCCTGTTTTGCACTATAGTATCAATCACTACCAAAAATATAACATCTGCTGGGAAGAAAACATAAATATTGATTTATGAAAAGATGATGAGCCGTCAGGAATTGGGCAAAAAATACAAAAGAATATGCTTATTGTTCTTGGTGTTAAGAGCTTTGATTTGAGTATTTCTTTTTGTATTTTTAGAGTGCATATCAGTGGTACACAAGCATGAAAACCCATGACAACTCAATTGTTTTTTGGGTTTTGTCCAATAGGGAAGTGGAAAACCAATGGACAAAACCCCCAAAACAATTGAGTTGTCATGGGATTTTTCCAGTGGTTTTCAGGTTGGGTTTTCATGTTTGTGTACCACTATTGTTGAATGTACTAAGAAAAACCCTCATGATAATTGGATGTACACCTGTAAAAAATGCTTCAATTTGGCTCCTCAGATTGAAAATAACAATTCAAATTCTATAAATGCATATAAGTTTGCAACCAGCAAAAAACAATGATTAGTTCATTAGACAGCTAACTACTTCCCCAGAGCTTTTATTAAGGTGACAAGGCTTTGTTCAGCTTTGCAAAGAATCTATGTGGCTTTATAGAAGAGAATTCAAAGTGACATTAGCTGCTTTGCAAGACAAGCTGTGACTAATTATCAGGAAATTTTGAAAGAGACTCTAGCTTTCTAATGAGCCCAAAATTGAGTCCTTTGACTAAAAATTGCAGGGGTTATGAGAATTTCTAGAATTCAAAATGTTGTCATGAAACTCAAAAGTCAAATTTCAGCATGTCTTACAGGTATACCTTTGATGACCATGGCATTGTTTGTACAAACAACAATAGCAGTACACAAACATCTTGACCCCACCTAAAGAAACACATGTGACAAACCAATTTATTTTTGGGTTTTTAGCCCTAAAAAATCAAAAATCAATTGGGTTGTCACAGCTTTTTTTAAGTTGGGTCAAGATGTTTGTGTACTGCTAGTATAGACTCCAAAAATAAAAAAGAACTCAGATTGAAGCTCTCAACACCAGGAACAATATACCTTTGTTTTGTTCTTTTAAATCAATATCTACATTTTCTGCCCATAAAACATCATATTTTTTGTGGTGCATGGAAATGTGTTGATATCATTGGATTCTGAGATTTGTTGATGTGGTACCTTTCAATTCATACTATAGGTACTTCCATGACTGAGGAGGATGCAGCCATGTGGTCCAAATAACACATATGGATACATCTGAGATGATTTGTAAGTGGGAGAGGGCTGAAAACTGCTGAAAACCATGTAGATGCTTAGGTTCATGGGACTCGGAGCGCCCACCCCAATTCAGATAAAGAAATGGAAGACAATATGGTGTTAAACTCTTGAACCCAGGGCTTATATGTAATTTTACACTGAAATTTTGACACCAGATATTTGAGGGTAAAAAAACTTGGTAGAGATTTCTTGGCCCTGGTGAACAGCTGGATTTTGCCACCTGGTACTTTTCACTGGATTACTTTGGTGCAACCTGATAAGGGGCAATTTTACCACATCATGTGGTGATCTGCAATTTACCACCGTGACAATCACACCAGGTTCATCCAATCAAATTACATATGTCCTGATAGGGTGACCAGAAAGATACTTCAGGTCTTGCAAAAAAAGTGTTGATGTGGTGTATGGATCATCAAAGAAACACTGGGAGGATGTAGTAATTGTGCTAAGTATGCCAAAGCCCACCCAACACAACTTTGTAGCCAGGATGGCCACACTCCTGAAACAACCAAATAACACTTTGCAACCTCTACTGGCAAACCTTCCAAGAATTTTAAGAAGAGTAAGCACAGCAGTATTGGCCAACCTTTGGGGTGCCAGAACATCAACTGGGGCCCAATCACCACATATAAATACTATTCGGCAGGTTCAAAACAGGTCATATCAATTGTTGTTGGCAGTGTGCAACACTGGAATCTCTATAAGCTCTCTTTGGACCCATGTGTATTGAACACTTGCATGTAAATGAGACAAATCTCATTGTAGGTCAAATGTGCCACTTCACACAAAGGCTGGAGGCCAAGATTACTCAAGCCAACCACATGAATAATGTCCTGATGCAAGGAGAGAACCTCTTGTGCAAGGCGCTTCAAGAGATAGCACCAGATTTGTTCAAATTTGATGTCTTTGCCTCAGCTGACGGCTTTATGGATCACCTTGTCAAATCACTGGAGTTGGGACTTCTGTTTTGTAAATCCCAGTGAAAAGAACCAAGATCTTTCCTTTTGACAAAGGGCATACTTTTATCTTGACTTCCCTTATATCAGTTTTAAAAATCACAGCATCTATGTTCAATGACACTGCTCTCTTGCATTCAGATGTTGGCCCCTTAATCTGCAAGTGGATCTTTGATGGACTGTTTCTAACACTGGATAGGTGTGCCAACAGTGCCATACTATGGTTCCTGCAACTCCCACCAACCTCACATGTACCTAGAATAAGACAGCCAGATCTCAATCACTGAACCAACTTCTGTGTCATTATATCTTTATTTCCTTGTAGACAGTGTTACTTGATTTAACAGAGACAAAAGAACTAGATTTGTGAGTGAGCCAGAATGACCAGCTCAATTGATGATTGGTGATTACTCTTATTGCTTGGTTTCACAAGGCTTCTGGGCAGAAAGCCACTACTGGTGCAGAGTTGTGAGGAAATATGAAGGTGTATTGGGCGTGTGGTATTTTGATGACTGTCAAAATGCAGGCATTGCTCAGCTCCTAGGGACTGACATGGGTACAATTGCTGGACCTTAAGTCCACATCAACTGGCTGGCCTATTCA